CTGAGCAAAAACTGCTCTTCCTGTATAAATAAAGCAAAAAGACCTTCTCCAGTTCCCCCATCAAAAATGATATCCCCTAAAACCTGAAGAGCGACAGGGTATACTGCCCATTATTAACAGGGACTTTTAGTGGAATGCTCAAGCCCTTGTAACACTCCTTGCTGTCAATAAGGGGCCAAATGGAAGTTGGTTTAGGACCTCGACTCATCAACGAGGCTGTCATTCCCCTTCATCCAATTGTCCCCAACCCCTATACTCTATTGGCTCAAATACCTCAGAAGCTCGATTCTACTCTGTGCTAGATCTAGAGGCTGTCTTCTTATGCATTCCTTTACATCCTGATAGCTAGCCCTTGTTTGCCTTTAAAGACCCCACCAATCCCTCACAACAGCTGACATGGACGGTGTGGCCTCAGGGCTTCAGAGACAGCACCACCTTTTTGGGCAAGCCCTAACCAAAGACTTATTAGACTGGCAACACCCAGGGGACACCCTTCTCTAGTATGTTGATGACCTACTCTTGTGTGGGTCCACTGAGCCTCTTGTTTCCCAAGCAACTGAATCCCTTGTAAACTTTTTGGGCTCTTGGGTGGAGGCGGAAGTGGTTATTTTGCCAAAGAAGCATAAGAAGAAAAAGGACCGGAAGCCATTACATGATGATGACGTAGCGGAAATACAACATGCTGAAGAGTTTCTTATCAAACCAGAATCCAAAGTGGCTCAGTTGGACACTTCTCAGTGGCCCTTGTTGCTAAAGAATTTTGATAAGCTAAATGTAAGGACAACACACTATACACCCCTTCCCTGTGGTTCAAACTCTCTGAAGAGAGACATTGGGGACTCTATCCAGACAGGTTTCTTAATCTTGACAAGCCCTCTAACCCCTCTTCCCATGAGGTGGTAGCTTGGATCCACTGAATACTTCGGGTGGAGAAGACAGGACACAGTGGCACCTTGGATCCCAAGGTGACTGGGTGTTTAATTGTGTGCATAGAACGAGCCACTCGCTTGGTGAAATCACAACAGAGTGCAGGCAAAGAGTATGTGGGAATTGTCCGGCTGCACAATGCTATTGAAGGGGGGACCCAGCTTTCTAGGGCCCTAGAAACACTGACAGGTGCCCTATTCCAGCGACCCCCCATTTATTGCCGCAGTAAAGAGACAGCTCCGAGTGAGGACTATCTATGAGAGCAAAATGATTGAATATGATCCTGAACGAAGATTAGGAATCTTTTGGGTGAGTTGTGAGGCCGGCACCTACATTCGGACACTGTGCGTGCAACCTTGGTTTGTTATCGGGAGTTGGTGATCAGATGCAGGAACTGCGGAGGGTTCGTTCTGGAGTCATGAGTGAAAAGGACCACATGGTGACAATGCATGATGTGCTCGACGCTCAGTGGCTGTATGATAACCATAAGGATGAGAGTTACCTGCGGCATGTTGTCTATCCCTTGGAAAAGCTGTTGACATCTCATAAGCGGCTGGTTATGGAAGATAGTGCAGTGAATGCAATCTACTATGGGGCCAAGATCATGCTTCCAGGTGTTCTCCGATATGAGGACGGCATTGAGGTCAACCAGGAGATCGTGGTCATTACCACCAAGGGGAAAGCCATATGCATGGCTATTGCATTAATGACCACAGCAGTAATTTCTACCTGCGATCATGGTATAGTAGCCAAGATCAAGAGAGTGATCATGGGGAGAGACACTTATCCTCACAAGTGGGGTTTAGGTCCAAAGGCAAGTCAGAAAAAGCTGATGATAAAGCAGGGCCTTCTGGACAAGCATGGCAAACCCACGGACAGTACCCCTGCCACATGGAAGCAGGAGTATGTTGACTACAGTGCTTCTGGCAAGAAAGAAGTTACTGAAGCATTAAGTTAGTTGCTGAAGTGGCAAAAGTCCACAGTAGTTGCTGAAGCAGTAAAAGTCCCAAAGCAGAAGGGAGAGAGTGAAAGTGAAAGTGATGCGACCCCTCCAGCAGCTCCCCAGTTGACCAAGAAGGAAAATAAGAAGGACAAGAAGGCCAAAGCTATGCAAGAGAGTGGAGGCGAGCCTGGAGATGAGGACAGTGACAACACCAAAAGAAGAGGAGGAGGAGGAGGAGGAGGAGGAGGAGGAGGAGGAGGAGGAGAAAGCAAAAGTGGTAGAAGTGGTGTCTGAGTAGTAAAGGATGCTTTAAGCATTGTGTCCAGCTGGGAGGAGAAATGAAAGCCTTATCGTTAAGTTTTTTGTTGTTGAGGGAGTGAAACAGAGGTCCCTAACAGGGTAGAGAGTTCAGGCATGCTTTGCTGCTACTTGAGACCTCAGTGATGTTACCTGGTGTGGTCATCCCATCTTGTCCTGTTTTAAAGATGTGGGTGATTAAAGAGGCAGGTTTTATGCCACCAACTTTTCTGCTTGAGTTGGGAAGCCTCACCTTCAGACCCAGTACTGCCTAGTAACTGTTTGCAGCTATTGCAACCTCATAGTCCTCTCCTGGTTTGCTTTTTTTTTTTACCCTGTTTAAAAATTTTAAAAAAATTAAATCTGTCCAATGAAATAAGTGTAGAAACCTCAATAAATTAAAAGGTATAACTGAACCACATTGTTCACTGGGGAAATCTTTTTTTTATTCATATGTGCATAAAATGTTTGGGTTATTTCTCCCCCCTCCCCCCACTCCCTCACCCCCTCTCCCCCCACTCCCTCCTTCACCCCCTCCTCCCCCCACTCCCTCCCTTAACCCCCCACCCCCTCACTACTTGGCAGAAACTATTTTGCCCTTATCTCTAATTTTGTTGAAGAGAGAGTATAAGCAATAATAGGAAGGAACAAGGGTTTTTGCTGGTTGAGATAAGGATAGCTATACAGGGAGTTGACTCACATTAATTTCCTGTGCATGTGTGTTACCTTCTAGGTTAATTCTTTTTGATCTAACCTTTTCTCTAGTTCCTGGTCCCCTTCTCCTATTGGCCTCAGTCACTTTAAAGTATCTGCTTTAGTTTCTCTGCGTTAAGGGCAACAAATGCTATCTAGCTTTTTAGGTGTGTTACCTATCCTCACACCTCCCTTGTGTGCTCTCACTTTATCATGTGATCAAAGTCCAATCCCCTTGTTGTGTTTGCCCTTGATCTAATGTCCGCATATGAGGGAGAACATACAACTTTTTGGTCTTTTGGGCTAGGCTAACCTCACTCAGAATAATGTTGGAGAACAATTATTAAGTGTGGAGTAACTTCTCAAGTCAGGAACTATGAGTTCTCCATTTTGTCCTTTTTCAAGATTATTTTGGCTAGTTAGGGTCACAAGAGATTCCATTTGAATTTTAGGATGGGTTTTTTCTATTTCTGCAAAAAAAATCATTGGGATTTTGATGGGGGTTGCACTGACTCTGAACTGACCTGGGTAGTGTAATATCTTTACAATATTATGTTCCTAATCAATGAAATGGTATGCATTCCCACTGACTCATTCATTTCTTTCATCAGTGTTTTGTAGTTTTCATTATAAAAGTCTTTCACCTCCTTGGCTAATTCCTAAGCATTTTATTCTTTTTGATGTGATCATAGGTAGAATTGTCTCCTTTTCAGTTATTCATTATTAGTATATATATAGAGAAATGTAATATAATTCTACTTGTATCTTGCTTTGCTAAACTCATTTATTAGTTCTAACAGCTTTTTAAAATGGAACCTTTAGGGGTTTCTACATATGAAGGCCATTGCCATCTGTAACTAGAGTTTTAATTTTATTTCCTTTTCAATTCGGATGCCTTCTCTTTTTCTTGCTTAATTGCTCTGGCTAGAACTTTTAGCACTGTGCTGAAGAGAAGGGCTGAAAATAAGCTTCTTTGCTAAGTTCTTGATCTTAGAGGAAGAGCTGCCTGTCTTTCACCATGGAGTCTGTTTTCTGTGGGTTTCTCACAGATGGTTTTTATTATGTTGAGGTAGTTTCCTGCTGTTCCTAGATTTTGTTTTTTCAACACGAAAGAGTGTTGAACTTTGTCGAGTAGTTTTTCTGCATCTATTGAGATATTTTTTCTTTATTCTGTTAGTGTCATCAACTTTTGTATGTTGAACCATCCTTGCAATGCAGGAATAAATCAGACCTGGCCATGATGAACAGTCCTTTAAGTATTCTGAATTTGGATTTGTATTTTATTGATAACTTTTGCATCAATCTTCATAAGAGATAATTGGTCTTCTGTTGTTTCCTTTTTTGGGGGGAGGGGTGGGGGGAGCAGTATAGCCTTTCTATCAGGTGATGCTGGCCTTAAAGAATCAGTTAAGTGTTCCCTCTTTTAGAAAAGTTTGAGAAGCTTTGGCATATTAGCCCTTTAAATGTTTGGAAGAAATCACATTGTTAAGCTACCAGGTCTAAGGATTTTGTTAGAGATTTTTGATTACTGATTTAATCTCCTTACTAGTTATAGGTCTATCTACCTCTGTATTTCTTTGTGATTTAGTCTTCGTAGGTTCTGTGCTTCTAGGTATTTGTCCAATTCATCTAGGTTGCCTAATTAGTTATGTAATTGTTCATAGTTCTGCTTTAAAATTCTTCCATACAATCAGCGATGTCTCCATTATCTGATTTTAGTAATTCCAGTCTTCTCTTTTAGTCCTTCTAGCTAATTAATTTTGTTGATCTCGTCAAAGATCCAACTTTCATTGATTTTCTCTTACACTCTTCCATTCTCTATTTTATTCACCTCTAATACTTATTACTTCCTTCTGTTAGCTTCTTTTTCTAGCTACTTAATTTTAAAGCTGGACTGGTTGAGTCTTTTGTTTTCTACTAAGCATTTATAGCTATAAATTCCCCCCTTAGCATAGTTTTGCTGTGTCTCATAAGTTTTGATATGTTGCATCAGCATTTTTGTTTTCACTCAAGTATTTTTTGTGGTACTAGGATTCAAACTCAGGGCCTCACACTTGCTAAGGAGGTGCTCTACCATGAGCCACTCCACTAGTCCATTTTTTTGAATGTACGAGTATTCTCTCTCTTGTAATTTCTTCCTTAATCCTTCGCTTAAGAATGTGTTGTTGTTTAATTTCCACATGTGTATTATTTTCTAGTCTACTATTGATTTATTGACTTCTAACTTCATTCCACTGGAGTCAGATAAAATATTTTGCATGTTATCTTTTAAATTTTGAGACAAATTCATCTACCATATGATCTATTCTGGAAAATGTTCCATGACCTAGAATTTTTTTTTTTTTTTGAGACAAGCTCTCACTGTGTAGCCCAGGTTGGCCTTAAACTCCTGATTCTCCTGCCTCTATCTCCTGAGTACTGGGATTACAGGTATGTGCCACCACACCTGCCTCAGTACATTCTTTTGAACACAGCAGGAATGCAATAAATTTCTGGCCAGTAAGTTCCCCAGTTTTTGATGAGAGGGAGGTCAAAGTCACGGCTGAAACATGGACTGGCTGCCCATAGCTGTGTGATCTTGGGTGAATTCTTTACCTCTTTTCCATCTCATGGCCTTGCGTGAGGATTAGACAAAGATGAGGTGATGGATCAGAGGAGAGCCCCACAAAGGTTAGTTCCTCTTCTCCTCCACCTGTCCTACTTCTCCTAACCATGAAAGCACCCCTCTGCACATATAACTGTAAATGAGAGGTTTCCAGCAATTAGACTGAGATGAATGGTCACTGCTACCCCATCCAAAGCTACTATAAGGCAAAAGGCACCTCAGCCTGGGGTCTGCATCTGTTCCTGGGTTTGTTACTGCTGGGGGCTGGGTGGTCTTCCTCTGGTCATCATGGGCCTTGCCTGTCCTTCTCCATCTTTCCATGCCCTCGAGTCCAAGCATAACCTCTCTTCCTTTGGAAGAAGCACCATAACTCTTGGAGAGGGTTCAAACACTCCTGGCCCTCCATTCCTGTCTATCTGTGCCATCCATCTAAGTGGTCCCCAACACTCATCTGAATGGACCAAAACAAACACAAACCCCAGACACCTTGGTAAAACTTTATTCACAAACTCCAGACCCTTAGCACAGAGGGTATATTCTTAGCAGTGGCAGAACAAAAACAGAAACAACAACAACAACAAAAAAAACCAATACAGCAAGTTTGTTAATACTAACCTTTTTAATTTAAATTAAAGCATTTCTGGAAGACAAACGCAATTGATAGAAAATATAAAAACTTTTACTGTACAAATTTTACATCACATTCAAAAAGCAAACGTGTGCCTCATGGTCACAGAAGATGTGAAGTGGGCACACGGATGACATCCTGGCCAATGCTGCAGCACAAGGGTTCCCCACAGCTTGACATTCCTGTCCCCCCACCCCAGTCTCTTCAGAGCAACACCAGCTTTCAGAGTTTGTCATTCCCTGCAGGGACTACTAGAAGAAACACCATGAGTCAGCAGGGGGTGTTTTGATTGGGAAAAACCGGGAAGTCATCTTTGCTACACACTGCTCACAACAAACCCAGCTTGCCAGGATTCTAAGCTTTGAGTCAGATAGGAACAAGGGGTGGGCTGCAGCTCAGGTGGTAAAAGGCCTAAGAGGTGATGCTGGGAACTGGGGGTGCCTGGAAGGGTCAGAGCTTGGACTCCATTCTCAGACCCCAAAGAGGCCTTCTATAGCCCCCTGAAAGCCCCAGCCTTCTCTGTCCCTTCACAGTTGGCCATGAGCGCTGAATTCACAGTATCTGTCATCCTTCATGTGTTTCCTGGACAGACGGGGAGAGCACACGGAAGGGCAAGCACGTCTTCCTAACTTCAATTCACAGTCACTTAAATAAAAGGGGGGAAGGGACCATTGTGGGGGACTTTCTCAAATGCTAGGGCAGTGCAGAGGTGGTTGGCAGAGAGCTGAGAGCACAGGCTACCCAGGCCTTGGAGAGGAAAGGGGAGGGGCCCCCAGAACCTCAGCTCAACCTCTGGCCAAGTGACCCCTGGGTTCCTGGCAGGTATCAGACTCTTAGCAGATCATCAGCTCCTTAAGCAGGGACCCTGACTGCCCCCTTCTCTGGATCCCCAGCTCGTGCACAAGACCATGTACACTGCAGCGGCTCAGCAAGAGCTTCCTGATCTGTGACACTCACCCAGACCCACCTCCTGTGAGTCATATTTAATGGTCACTGTGATCTGGGAGCAGGGAAAGTTGAGCCCAACTTGCTCAGTGCCATCCAGCTCTCAGGCCAATGTCACAACAGAAAGAAGAAAAGCTGGAGACACATGCACTGCAACCTTGGGGAAGGTGCAGCAATGTGACAGCCACAGAGGCACACAGTCTGAACATCTGACTTTCCAGAATCCAGTTCCTCTTGCATCCATGCTTGTGTCTGCATGGACACAAGAAGAGGCCTGAGGCTGCGAGGGAGAGCCATGTAGACAGGTGGCTTGCTAGGTGAGTCTGGCTAAGAGGGTTGGACAGTCTCATGCCCCCATCTGAGCCTGGAGCTTGGACAGAGTCAGAATGGGCTAAGGGGTTTCAATATGGCTGGTGAAGTAGAAGAGGTGGACAGAGAAGATGCTGGAACCTTCTAGCAAGACTGACAATGGGTTTTAAAGTGCCAGGGTCACCTAGTGGGCCAGAAATGGGCTTGGATACCTGCTGGTTCTGCCAGGCAGCTACTTCTGCCTCTGTACCATCTTCTCTGTTCTTAGCAGGCCCTCATGGTCTGTGCAGCTGTGGGGCTAGGCCTCAGCTCTAGGGTCAGGTGTTACACCCCAGGGTCAGGCACTGGGGTGCCTTTAAAGACAGCGGTCCTGAGCCCATGGCCTTGATACCTGCTTAAATGCTTCATGAGAGAAACAGAGTCCCACCTTGCAGCAGAAACCCTGGCTAGGAACCATGAGGCCCATCCAGATATTATTTGGATTCTGTCTCTACTTTTCCAGCAAGAGCAGCCTGCATTAGAGGGGTGGGAAGCTCTCCAGGAACTCCTGACCCCCGTAATCCAGCTCGGCTCCTAGCCAGGCTCTCCTCTGCACGATGAGGTGGGAACAGCGTCCCTCTGATAGGACAAGGGGAGAACACCCACCCATGGTGATTAAGGTCAAAGCAGAGGCCAGGTCAAACCTCGTGCCCCTCCCTGTCCCACCCCGAGAACAGTCACAATCCTGATGCTTTTCTTCCTTCTGGTCCAGCTTTGGGCTCCTCACTGCTACCTGGTCCTCTGCCATTCCGAGGTGTCAATGTGCCCTTACGCATGAACTGTTTATTATCACCTATTGTGAAAACATCAAGTTCGCTTGCCAGAAATGTACGTGTCAACTTTTGCTGTCAGTTGGGACAGGTCTGGTGGGTTGGTGTCATCTGAAAGCGCAGGGATGGCTCTGCCTCTGGGCCCCACGTATCGTGGTGATGAACACTCTGAATGGAGGGCTCGTGCTCCTGGTTTGCAGTGCTCGGCAGGTGGAGTGGTTTTTTTTGTCTTTTGTCATGGTGGTTGTTTGTGTGTTTTAGGAACACATTTGAAAAAATGGCAGCATGAAACTGCACAGCTGGCTACATCTTTGGATTACTGGACTCCAGGGCACCCAGGCCGAACCTTTCAAAACGGGGAACGACTTTGCTGCTGTTAATACTGTGAAGAGTAATAAAGACATGGATTATGGCCCTGCGGTCTTGACTAATATTAGGGAGGAACTGGCTAAGGAATGGGCTAGTTCCAGAAGCTCAGCAGAGGACTTGGCCCCCACCAAGTGACAACAATTGCGTGGCCCACAGCCTTGGCAGAGCTGCTCCTGGTCATCCAGAGTCCTGGGCCTGGCCACGCTCCCCTCCTAGGGGGCAGTGATGTGGCACATTCACCTCTGACTCCTTGGCACACGGCACGTGCGGCAGCTGTCGTGGGCTCGTGTGCACTGCTTCCTCACTGGCTATCTGGAAACACCCTTGCTCCACATAGAATCAGGAGGGAAGAGAAACCCAAGCCCCAACACCAAAAGTAACATCACATGCTTCTTCTAGAAATGGTGCTCAAATGTGGGGTCCACTTGGGAGGCAGGATGAGGGCCAGAGCTCAGGTGCAGAGATCTGGTTGGTCTGTGGAGCCCTGGGCAGAATGGAGAGAGCAACTTGGTGGGGGCAGAGGCTCTGTTTTCATTAGGGAAGTTGGTTGGAGACAGGCACCACTTTGCTTTAGTATGATTTTCTCAGTGTGCCCCTAAGGACATAGTCCTTAGGATAGGCCACAGGACATTTTGTGCCTACTGCCCTAAGTCCCCAGAGGAGACAGAGACAGATTCTGGTGCCCACAGTGCTGGCCTCGGGGCAGCTCTGGAACCATTCCACTCCTTACAGGACAAGATCCCAGGGTTAGAAGCTATGCCTCCTTCCAGCACACTCAGCAGGAGGCTCTTTAAAGTGTTAGCAGGGAGACAGGGCCACCAACAAAAGCAAGATCAGCCCTCAGAAGAAAAGGAGAGAAGGAAGAGGCCATGTGGGGAGGCAGCTAGAAGCTGCTCCTCTGCTCCACAGGGGCACCTGGTTAGTGGCATCCTCCACCAGCAGTGACTCAGGCACACGCAGGCCATGTGGAGAGGGAGGGGCTGTTTTAAAAATGAACAGAGCACAAGAAGTCTGAAGAGAGAAGATGGAGCAGCAGAGATGGCATCCCCTGGGTTAGTGCCCGCCTGGCATTTTGTGTTTTAGCAGAAGTCGCAGAGCCGAGTGGTCCGTTAGGAGGAAGAAAGCCCCCAGCACATGCAAAGCAGCCAGTCCTATAGCCTATGGAGGACAGAGAAGAGGGGAGAACAGGGTCAGAACCAGAGCCCATGGGGAGCCAGGGCCCAGAGGCCTGGCTGGAGCAACCAGGCAGGGGACTCTCTTTCCTGCAGAAAAAGGGATACCTCCAACTCATTCCCCCAGACTGGCGGCAGGGCAAGCTGGACGTAAGGAGCACCCTCTAGACTCCTGCAGGGCACAGTCGCGGACTGCTTCTATACGGCTGCCCACATCTCCTTAGGTCCGTGGGCCTTTAGCCTTTGACTTCCAAAACTGACTTCTTGGAGTTTGTGACTCTGCTCACTGGATTCTCTTTTGAACACTGAAGACTTAGATCAATGATCCAAGTTCTCTCTCATCCAGGGACTAATCAAACGCGTGTCCACTTGGTGTGGACAGAGGCCCCACCACGTGCTGTGGGTCTCACTCACTCACTGAGAGAAACGCAAGCCTGCATGGTGACTATTTAGCTTTGGATTATGGAAATAAAACCACAGTTGTGAGAAGCTGGATGCAGAGACAGAAGCAGGTATGCAACAGGACAGTCACACACAGGCAGGGAATGAGTGAAATGACAGAAACACACAATTCCTCCAGAACTGGACAGGAATTCTTAAAGTCAGGGTGACCGTAATGTCCTTTCCCGTAGTAGCGGCTGCGCCAGCGGCTGAGTGCCCGCGACCATTTCACCAGGAGTGGAAGAGTGCAGTCCAGCCCATCAGCCCAGCAGGTGGAGCAGTAAGGATGGTGGGACAGGGAAGATGACAGGGTAGGCCAGCACATCCGCCACCCCCACCCCCCCAAAAATAAAAAAGTGACAAGGTCAATGGGGAAGAAAAAAGAAAATGAGAATTTAGAGGCCATGTGTATAAAAAGTGGAAATCACGAACACAGACACACAGACATTCAGGTATGCTACAACTTCCCTGTAAGGGGCTGGAATTGGTAGCTTTGCACTGGTACCAGTCCTTGTTTGTGACTTAGTGACTTCTGTGAGTGGAGAAGGTGGGGCCATTTGGTTTTCAGGGAATGGAGTCATCCCTGAATGCCAGGGCCCACCTGGCATTCGTTTTGTGGACTAGAAAAGCACGGCCCAGGGTATGCACAGTGACATGGGGTTTGTAGGAGCAGATCAGAGCTCAGCCTTTGCCACTCCAAACCCCCTTCTGGAGTTTCCTAAAGAACCCCATGCTCTGTCCCTGCAGAGATGATTCCTGCTCATACTCAGCCTCAACTGATCTTTCAATCAGGTGGACAGAGAGCCACATCAGCGCTCCTTCAGGCCCCATGTCTAGTCAACTGCTCATTCATTCAGGCACATGATAAGTATTTATTGGCCAACTACTCTTTCTGGGACTGTGCTAGGAGTTGGGAATACAGAGGTGACAAGACAGAGTCCTGTCATATGAGGCTTCACTGCAGTGCATCTGTTTGTCTTTATCCTAACTAGATCACATATGCCTTGCTGGCAGAGGCCTGGCCTTGTCTGTGTATCCCAAAGTGTGCAGGAGGTGTGCAACAACAACCGACTAAAACTCACACCTCTGATGGCTACATTCTTTTACCCCAAATCTGTACAGACTGAGGACCCTTAATCTAAAAATCTGAAAACACAAACACTCCAAAAACTGAACCTTTTTTGTTTGTTTGTTTTTCTTGGTAATGGGGTTTGAATTCAAGACTTTTTTTTTCTTTATTCATTTATTCATATGTGCATACATTGTTTGGACCATTGCTCCCCTCTGCCCCCTGTCCCCTCCCTCTCCCCTGAATTCAGGACTTTGCACTTGCTAGGCAGGTAGTCTACCGCTTGAACAGCACCTTTTTGCTCTGGTTATTTTGGAGGTAAGGTCTCACTTTTTGCCTAGGCCAGAGTAGACCGCCATTCTCCCTCCCACTTTACACTTGCTGTCACTGGGATGACAGACATGTGCCACCGCACTCAGCTTTTTTCTGTTGAGATGGAGGTCTTGTAAACTTTTTTTGCCCAGGCTGTCCTTGAAATACAATCCTCCTAATCTCAGCCTCTCAAGTAGCTAGAATTAAATCTAAACTTTTTTGAGTGCCAACATGGATTAGATGTTCAACTAGTAAAGTCTATGCAAGTGTTCCAAGGTTTGAAAGACTCTGAAATCTGAAATATTTCTGGCACTGAGCATTCCAGTAAGGGGTTTTCAATCTAACCTATCTGAAGAGGACAGTGTTGAATCTAATGTTGCGTTATATGATAGAGTATTCCCTAATCCTGACGCCTGTCCTTCAGATTGGCCTAAAGCAGCAACGTTGACTGAGTTTCTTTGGCGACTTCTCCTGCTTGCATCCAGCTTAAGCTGGGCCTCTCCTCCCCTGCAGATTCTTCCTCAGTAAAGGGCTTGGCAAAGTGTGCAAGTCAAATATGGCTACAAACTCAGAAAAGGTTTTGACCATTTCCGAGGTTTTTCAAAACAAAGAACATAGCCAGCTTGCAGGCTTATGAATTGTTTGTGGGACTCTTGCCTTACAAGGGTAGGGCCAGGTCCTGGTAACAGAAACAACGCTCTGCACATTGCCAACGCCAGTGCCAGGATTAGAACTTGAAGACTTCTCCCCCTGAAAAGCCTGAAATATTTACCACCTGGCCCTTTTCAGCAAAAGTTTCTGCATCCTAGATCTTACCCAACTCCCATCACTGTGGAAACTGAGGCCCAGAATAAGGCCCCAGAACCTCACCAAGGCTTGTGACAGGGCAGAGGTCTGGGAGAGGTGGCAAGAGAGGTAAAGAAGAAAGGGAACAAGTCAGCATAGTGTGAAGCAGGGGAGACAGCCCCTGAGCCACGGGGCACAAAGGTCCCTGTAATCACAGAGGAGGGCGATTTGTGGCTTCCAAGCACCACAGAGCTGTGTACTGAGACCCCACAACAGGAGGTCAGTCTTTGTGCACTGACTCTGAGTCAGTGCCACTTTTAGCAATATTGGCTCTATTTGTTATGGGGGTGACTCTGAGCTCCAACTCACTCATCTTACCCTCCCAGGGCAAGACCTTCTCACCCAGGCCCAGCCCAGGCCTGGCATCAATGCTGGTCTGATAACACTGATATGTGGATTTTCACAGATGCAAACTGTCAAAGGGAGACTCCCCTGTCAAAGGAATTCTCCAACATAAACTGGGTTAATGGAATCATCACATCCTTTGAGTTTATGGACTCTCTGTGCCCCCAGATCAGTCAGGCATGGACATAGCAGATGGTACGCTCTAAGGCTCCAGACAAAGCCTCTGGGGCCTGCTTGGCACATCTTCCCCTCCAGGGGGTACTTACTCAGCGGACTTCCAGAAGTGCCCAGGGTGGGAGAGTCGCCGGTTCAGCTTGGGCAGTTTCTCCAGCATGTCCATCAGTAGGCTGAAGCTGGGTCTCTCCTGTAGATCAAAAGCCCAGCAGGCAGACAGGATCTCCTGCAAACCGAGTTGCCATTATTGGTGCGTGAGCTGGCTGGGAGAGAGGACAGGGTGGGGCTGAGACCCTCATGAAGGGTCTCTTCAACTCTCTCAGTCCCCTAGCTGGAGGCCCCCGTACACACTGCAGACATGAAACATTCAGAAAAATGCCCATGCTTCCACTTCAAACGAAATTTGGAGCTCACCTGCTCTTCTTCTTAGATCCTCTTTCCCCAAATAACCATAACCAAGCTGAACAGACTGGCAGTGGGAAAAAGATCAGAAAGGTGGGGGCTGGTTGTTGGAAGGTGGAAATTGAAAGGTCCAATGCTGGCAGGTGAAATGCAAGGTGATCAGAAAAATGTGCGGGAGGAGGGTACAATGGAGGGACAGCCTCAGTGTTACCAGACTGGCAAGGACTAAATATAGGGGCAGCAGCTGACAACAGGACAATAGCTGCCCTGATTGCCCCCCAGAGTGATGCCCTTCTCATGGTGCTATTTTGCTGCCTCGTTTCAGGATCCACACATGTACCCAGTGCACCCCTGCAGCCTGGCCATTCAGGAGAACTGCACGCGAGACAACAGGCCTGTGTACACGACCAGTAGAAAGCACATGCCCACTGAGACTCAGCCACGCACGCTTTCATTTTCAAATACAGCTGGACCGCGTGATCTCGCCTGCTATACTAGGACAAGACACCAAAGGTAAACAGATCAAAGCCCAGTGTCTGGAGAACGTGGTTGTGTGAAGGACATGTGTGAAGCTACTCTACCCATAAAACAAGACCAGAGAGCGATAAAAAATAAATCACCAAAAAAAGAGAGAAGTGCTTGACATTGAAACTGTAACTTTCAAACCAAGACATGAGAAGTGTTAGAAGATAAAATCAAGGAAACTCCCCAGATTGTGGACTCATTCAGATATGGATGGAAAATAGAAAGACGGTAAAAGATGCAGAGGCTTACTGCACAGGGCCAAACTCTGTCTAACGGGAGTTTCCACAAGAAAAAACAGATAAGAGGGCAGGAAGTTACTAACGGGAAACTTTCAGAGGAAACAGAGTTTTAGATTAAAAGGTCAATGCAGGGATCGCACTTAAAAATAAACAAACAAAAAACCCCTATAAGCAGATATGTTTTTGTGGAATTTTACTACCAAGGATAAAGAAAAGATCCTAGATGCTTCCAGAAATAAGATAAGGAATGTACAAAAGATTGAGAATCCTAAACCACCAGCTTTCTAAGCAATGCACTAGATTTTAGCAGACAACAGAGCAAACAAAATCTTTGCGTTCTGAGAGAAAATTATCATGAATCTAGAATTCTATTTGGCATGAGGACAAAATAAGGACTTTTAAATTTATTTATATATCTATTTTTGGTGGTGCTGAGGTCTGAACTCGGCCTCATGCCTGCTAGGCAGGCAGGCGCTCTACCACTTGAGCCACTCCGCCAGCCCTATGGACATTTAATAGACACGCAAGGATGCCAAGATTATTCCTCATGCATCCATAGGAAGGCAGGTTTTTGTTTTTGTTTTTAGCTTCTACTCTCATATTGTTGGAGTGAAAACAGAGGGAAAGATCTGAGATATAAGCAATGGTGCAATTGAGTAAAAAGAAAATAGAAGGATATTTGGGTCTGTGCAACAGGCCTATAATCCCATTGATTCAAATGATCAGAAATAAGTGAGCACTAAAAAGTATGGAACATATTCCATTTAATAAGCAGAATGCAAAAGGGACCAAAAGACCTCAGGAATTTGGTAAAAGTTTTTGTCCCTTTTCTCAAAAAAACCCCAAAAAAGTCAGACACAGTGGTGCATGTCTACAGTCCCAGTGACTTGAGAGGCTGAGGTGAGAGGACTGAGTGAGCCCGGGAGTTCGAGGCCACCCAGGGCAACACACTGAGACCCTTCCATAGCACAGGGTCCTGGTTTAGGAAACATCATCGAGCACAACTGTCTTAAACACACAGGACTAAAATACACCCAGACAGGGGGTGGTCTAGGACGGTCTCCTGTGCAGTTTGTCTCCTCAGTCATTGGCCACAGGACTCTGAGAAGGAGGAGGAGTATGCAGGCGCACTCAAGGCCCAGCCTTTTCTCCAGCACTTCAGAAAGGGACTGCACATCACGAGGCAGAGCCCAAGCCCTGTGCTCCCCTGTGCCACTTGGACAGAGCCAGGAGCCTGAACTCCTGGGGTTATCCACATTGGATCATGTATCTTAAGCAGTAATTTTATGTAAGTAATATATAAAGCCGTTACTCTGTTTTCATCTTATAAGGCCATTAAAACGGTTACCCGTTAAAGAAAAGACTGGAAGGAAATTCAGACAAGTTATCAGTGGGGCCATATTGGACAGCTTTTATTTTCTTCTTGATGCTTATCTCTGCTTCTCCGTTTTCAGTAATATGTTTGGTTTTGATCTCTAACTTGACACCTCCAGGTGGCAGAGCCCCCCCAGCAATCCCTTCCCAGGCAGGTGAGTGAGGGCATGCCCCAGGCCACCCTCCAGCTCCACTTCCCCTTCCAAGAGCAGGTGGCTACTCACACTGACTTCCTTCCCCAGGCTGACGGAGGCCAGGATGCGCCTCACTCCCTCTCCACTCCCGATCTGCCAGATCAAGGCCTCGGCTGGCTGGTGTTTAAAGGGCCAGTCCCGCGCTTGGAGCTCGTACCAAACCGTCCTGTGGAGAACCCAGCCCAGGTATGAGCTCCAGGGCTCTGTGAAATGAACCTGTAGAAGGAGCTATCATCCTTCCATGGTTAGAGCTGGGGAGTCAGGAGGTGGTTACTTAGTCAACAAGTAGCAGTCATGGCTGAAAAGCCAGGCATCTTTCCACTCCAAAACCCAGGCTCCTCTGTTCCCACGCCACCAGGGCACTTTTTTTTGGCCACATTTGGTCTCTGAGTATCAGGGGCTTCTCACCCAAATGCATAGACGTCAGCAGCTTTGGAGAAGGGCAGCTGGTCCTCGTCCTTCCCAGGGGTCATCTCTCGAACGATCTCAGGGGCCAAGTAGCATAGCCAGTCATGGGACAGCTTCAACTGGTTCTCACGCCTAGAGACCAGGACAAGGTCACGGGCCTTCAGGAGGCAGAAGAGAGATCTGACTGGCAGACCTCTGCCACAGGGCTGGCAAACCACCCCTGCACTGTGTAGACAAAGTGTCCAAGTGCCACACACCAATCCCGCCTGTCACTGGCCCAGGCCTTCCAGGGACTGTCTCAGAAAGCATCATGGGGGCTTGGCTAGGAAAGCAGGCTAAGGTGTCTGCAAGGAACTGCATGCAAAGGAGCCTGAATCCTGGTGCTGGGAAAGTGACCAGTCTGTGCAAGAACTCAAACCCACCTGGCAGCTCTCTGGCCTGGCTGCCACTCTCCCTTGGGGGCTGGAGGGGCTTTCTCACCACCCCAGACCCTTTGAGCTCACAGGAGGTAAAACTTGAAGTTCTTCCTCATCATGGGGACATAACCCTGGTTCTTCACCCAAGTTGGTGGGCAGTCGGGCCACATGGGAGCCCAGGGACCCAGCCTTCATGGGGTCAACCTGAGAACCAAGTGTCATGAGGAACCCAAACATCACTCGGACCCAACTCTGGACCTGAATTGCAAGGGCAGGACCAAAGCAGCCTGGCTTTCCCTGCAGGGTGAGCTGCTCCTCAGCAACACAGCCATGGCGCCCTGACCCAGGCCCATCCAGCCCCACCTCCTGTCCCACCCCCAGACACCCAAGGCCAACTCACCGCTCCTCTCGAACCACACCCGAGATCCCGAACAGCCCAAAGTCTGTGATGACCACTTTTCCATTGTCATAGAAGACATTCTTGGACTTGAGATCTTTGTGCACAATGCCCTTGGCGTGAAGATACCCCATGCCCTGGGGAGGAAGAGGGGAGCATGAGTGATGGTGACTGAGCTTCTCCTCTGGGTGAGGAGCCAGGCTGGAGGTTTCCTGCCCCCTCACTTAATCTTCACAATCCCATGCAGTACATGGTCCCCAACTTATAGACAAACAAGTGAGGCTCAGAAAGGGGAAGTCACTTGTGCCAAGCTACATAGTAGTTAAGCAGCAAACGCTTGGACCCCCACTACAAGCTAGTTCATGCTCTTTCTATGCCACCTTCAGCTTGGGTAAGGCAGGAGGTGTCTATGGCATAGAGAGGTCAAGGAGTGTATAAGAACCGATACTACCTAGGGGTGCAGCTAGCTCAGTAGTAGAGTGCGGGTTTAACACTCATGAGGTCCCGGGTTTGATCCCCAGCACCAAAAAAAATACTGACCAATAATGCCTTCTGGTTAGGTCATAAAAGGCCCAAATGAGCTGGGGTCTCACTGAGGATTTGCACAGCTTGTCTCTGTTCTGAGGCAGGGCAAAGCCTCAGGGTAGGGAAATGAGAGACATTTCCAAAAAGGGGTCCCCAAGTTCAGGCATTTCCAATATCCATGCTGTGGCAGGAGGAGCCCCAGATTAAGACTGAAGTCTGGGTGTCAAATTCCACTCCAGCTCAGACTTTAACACGCTGTGTGGCCTCGGACATGGTGTTAGCATCTCTGAGCCCCAGCCTCCTCATCTATCCAGTGAACAGTGGCAGTGGCAATTTCTAACCAACATGCTCTTTGGACTGACTACCAATAGGCCAGGTGCATGGAACACAAATGACATGACACAGCATGACTTTATTCAAGGTCAAAGCTATCTTCAAACACCAAACCCAGGATTCCTATGTACTCTGATTCCCCTGGAGGAAGACACCATGGTGGAAATGGCCATCCCTGACAGCTCAGAAAGAACTTGACAGAAACCACCTTCCCACCTCTCAAACCTGGCTGCTCACACTTAAGTACACAGCTCCCTGGCTATAAAGGGGCCTTAGGGTGGGGGAAGAAAGGTGACATCTGGGGACAAACAATCCACATTAGGAAAAAGAATCAGCCATCACCAAAGCAGACAGAAGCCCACCCAGCAAGGCTCAGCCTGAGTGGGTCTGGATAGACTTAAGGAAGAATTTAAACAGAGTGAACGGGAGGGTGCAGGGTCCCCAGGACGCCTCTGCTCCAGCCTGCTAAGTACTGCCATCCTGCAGGAAGGCAGGGAACTCCAGGAAAGAGTAACTTCCCAAAACTGCTCTGAACCCATGACAATTCTTATAAAACATCTGCCCATTCCCCAAATATGGTACAAGTCTTCCCCAGTAGCTGAACAAATGGACTCCACTACAGGTTAACCAGGGACCACCAATTAAAGACAAGTCACTATACCTCTCTTACTTATAAAACAGGTGTCACAACCTAAAAGGGCCAGTTTAAAGAAACAAGATGCTAACTTCCTTTCCCACCATTTCGTATGTTTCCATAGCAGCCTAAAAGTTGCAAATCCTCAAACCAAGGGCCAGGCGCCTTTTATTTATCGTAACTCTGTAAGGGAAGCAGCTCAGGGGCTCACAACAAAAGGGGAAGAGGGATGTCAGCAGGATGGGAACCAAATAAGCCAGCAGAGTGGCGACTTCCGGCTCTGCAGCTTCAAAACCTTCCAGTAATTTTCCTGCTGGGCCTTGGAATCTGCAGATGCTCCCTCATCATGACTCAGCAGCAGTGGCCACACAGCAGCTGCCCTGGGTTCTGGGGGTGGGGCGTGGGCAGGGCTAAGCAAGTTTGTGGAAGAATGAAGGTGAAACTATCTATAGCTCTGACTGGCCTCTCTGAAAAATGCAGGACTACAGGGAAGGCAGAGATGGCATCTTTAGGCTTTGCTCTTCAGAAGTTTGTCATCAGCTTAGCCACAGAGAAATGTCATATGGAAATCCTGGTTTGTACACAAATGTCATTGTGATTCTTATCTTTTGGACAGAAGGAAGAAAGGGAAAGATGAGAGAAGAGAAAGGAAGGAAGTGAGGAAGTGCAGGCCATGGAGTGGCTCAAGCGGTACCTGCCTAGCAAGCGTGACACAGAGTTCAAACCCCAGTTCATCAGGAAGAAAAAAAAAAAAAATGGAGGAGCTGGGAAGGGCCTGCCTTTCAACAAAGCAATGAAATAAAGAAAAGAGAAGGGGGAGGAACTCCTCCCCATCAGTACTGTATTCTAGATTTCACTGGGTCTATTAGCTGCTTTATAAAGCAATACATGAGCTTTTCTTTCAAGATTCTTTAATTACTTTTTTAAATGATGAAAGATTGAAAAGAACTGAGCTGGAGGGATTGTCCTCAGGTATCCTGAATTTGGAAACTTGAAGGCAGGAAATATGGGTCCTTTTGTGCCCCAGGCATGAACACTTCCCCTTTTCCCATCATCCATCCTGAGTAAACTCTCACTGAGGCAGCCTTGTGTCAAATGCTGTCTCCATGGATGAAGCATTTTGTCTTTGCACTGATCCAGTGAGGGAGGTGGTAACTCTATCTTCACTTTGCAGGGGAGGAAGCTGAGGTTCAGAAAGGTTAGACAACCTGCCGAGGGCCATACAGCGGATATGACCAGGAGTCAAACTGTCTTTAGAACCTGCTGACCTGCCCTCCAACTAATTCAGTTCTATCAGCGCTGGCCAAGTGGACAGCTGTGCCTCTGAGTATGAGACTGGAACAGAGGGAAGGAGACAGGGTCCCACCCTGAGGAGCCCCAGCTAATAGGACAAAGCAGCCACAAAACCACAGGCAGATTCAGCGGCAGGAAGGACCGAGTACTCTCCAGTCAGGTGGAAGGATGCCCACCCTCCAGCAGCCACACCCCTTTACCTTGATGATCTCCTGAGCGATCTGTCTTGTCTTGTTAATGTCCAGAGATGTCTTAGGGTCCCTTACAAACGAGTGCAACGTCCGCCCCTTGCAGAAGCTGTTGAGAGTGGGAGGGATGGATCAGAGGTCTGGGACTGCTGCAGCCTGACTCCACCCCTGTGGAGCCTGTGGAGGGGCTGAGTCCACCTGCTTCTTGAAGACTTCTCAACCCCAACATGAGCCAAAGGATGTGCAGTTTGTTTTTTTTTTGAATCCAGGGCTTCGCACATGCTAAGGCAAGCATTCTATCACTTGAACCATGTTCCCAGTCCTTTTGTTTTTCAGATAGGGTTTTGTACTTTTGCCTGGGCCAGCCTCAGACCTGGATCCTCCTGCCTCCACCTCCTGAGTAACTGGGATTACAGTTATGCACCACCATACCTGGCTAGAATGAGTGTTCTATAACAAAGCCCAATACCCATTCCAGCTTGAAGGTCACAAACATACATACATATATACACACTTGTCCCTAGAGGCTCAGGGCCTGCCTGCCCTACACAAGGAAACACAGTTCATCCAAATGCCCAGCAATTCAGGGCAGCCCATCTTCATTGAGGTCACAGCAGGACACATCCACTAAAACTCAGCCAGGGAAGAATTTGACCTTTTAGGGCTTTAACCAGGCAACATCAGGTCTTTGGAGCTCACTGTAAAGAGTCTCATTACTGTTTTTTATTATTTTTAGATTCCTAAGCAATGGGGTGGCTGTTGGGGTATCAGAGCAATTATCATGAAAGGACTTGCACTCTGGGGTCTCCATCTGCACCAACTCCTAAAGGTGAGCGAGTTGGTGTAGGTGGAGAGGGTGTGCAGTTCATCTCCCATTCCAGGAGAGGCAGATCTATACCAGCTTAAAGAGAGGCTACATTTTAGGGAAAAGTGTCCAGAGACTGAGAACAGGCAAGTGAGGGTATGGAATACTGGTTGATGGTCCCTGTCTGTGTCCTGCCTTCCTCGGAACGTTGTGAAATGCATTACGTTTTGTTGCTGATGAGTATTTTGCTGTTTCACCATCTCCATCATGGAATCTGATGCATGACTGAGAGAAGGAAGGGTGGACAGACAGATGGACAGTGATGGGGGTTGCGAATTTGGCATGACCGCAGCCAGGCTCCTCAGGTACACCTGTCCTGCTTTGGGCGGAAGTTTTTTTTCCTCCTGGTGAGGAGAACCTGGTGATCACATACTGCTCAGGAGCTCTTATCAGATAAATAATCACATGGAAATTAATTTTTACTTCATTCACTGCATTAAAAAGAATAAAAGTTCTTGTTTTCTCCCCCAAAGCACAGGGTCCAGGTATAGGGAATATCGTCAGAGGTCAATGAGGACTCTCTTGACTTGATGGCAATAAAGTGGTTCCATTTTCGGTTCTTCTTGAAACTTTGATGTATATTCCAGGACTTCTACTAATGATCTTGTATCTCTTTTTCTGATTTTAACAATGTCTTTGCCACAGGCAAAACTGCTCCAGAAGTACAGCCACGCTGCTCTGGGACACAGTTTTAGGTGGAGGGTGACAGTGAGTCAGTGAGCGCTTCCTAAAGTAGAAAAGGGCGGTGCACATCAAAACATCAGGGCTGGGGTGCGGCTCAGTGAAAGAGTGCTTGCTTAGCATGCTGAGGGCCTGGGTTTCATTCCCAGCACCAATAAATCAATCAATAAAAGTAGACCTCTGACCTCCACCAAGTGGAGAAAGCAAGGTGTGACCCCCATGGACATGCCTGTGTATTTTTATAAAGGACTACAGTTTAAAATCTGCGAATTGTATCAATTTCCTTCATTTAATGGAGGGAATACAGCCACTTTTGGGGAGAAATACCCAGTTGAGTGGCAGGAGACTTATTTATTTATTGGCAGTACTGAGGTTTGAACTTGGGCCTTGCTAAGCAAGTACTCTACCACTTCAGCCAAAACCCGTCTCCCTGCCTCCCCCACTGGCCCCTTTTTTTGAGATAAGGTCTTCCTATGTAGCCCAGGCTAGCCTCAAACTTGTGATCCTCAGCCTCAGCCTCCCCAGTGCTGGGATTCCAGGCCATCACCACACCCAGTTTTATTTATTTTTAACGTCAGTGGGGCTCTGTGAGTGGGAAATTGTATCACCTTTCTGGCTTTCTTTTTTGTACCTCTCTGTGAAAACCTCTGCACCCTCCAGGGTGGCCACACAAGTAACAGGACTCCCGGCGGGGAGGGGCAGAGGGAGCTGGCCCCCCAGGGCCAGGCCACTCACCTGGTGATGATAGCCAGGTGAGGCGGGTTCATGCAGGCCCCCATGAAGAGCACCACATTCTCGTGCCGCGTCTGCCGGTAATTCATCACCTCCTTCTTGAACAACTTCAGGTGGTCCTGGTTGTGGCCGTCCATCTCCAGTAGGCGAATGGCCACCTCACCATGCCAGCGGCCACGGTGCACTCGGCCCCAGCGGCCCTGCCCAATGGGCTCACCCAGCTCCACCTGCTCGAAGGGAATATCCCACTCCTGCAGGTACACACTGGTCTGACTGGCCTTGCGAGAGACGGGGCCCCGCCAGGGCCTGCGGGAGCTGGGCAGGTCATCCACCTCATCCTCGTCATCTTCTGCCTCTGACTTGCCAGCTTCTGGCCCCTCAGCCTGAAAGGAAAGCAGGGAAGACAGAGAGGGGAGCAGGTCTGGGTCTGCTCTGCCTGAAGCCCCAGCCAGGTAAGGGAGGAGAGGATGGGGCCAAGAGGGCCAGGGTCTACTTGCAGTTTTATACTGGCTTGCTGTGAACACCAGGTGAGTTACTTAGAATCACTGGACCTCAGCATCTTCATCCACAAAATGTGGTTGCTGGGCCAGGTGACCCAGGTCCTTCATCTTACTAACACCCACAATCTACTTGGGAGCAACGTCTAACCGTTTAGAGACAGCATTAACAGCCCAGGCACGGAAGAACTTAACCACATTCACTCTTCTGGTATTGTTTAAGCACAGAGCTTCTGCCTCTCCTTTGGGCAACAGCAACATACTCTAAGCCACACTGCACTACAGGGACCCAGGCTCAGTTTACACTTTGGTTCAAGGATCAAGACGGTGGCTTTTGACGCTGACTCCAGTAAGAATCACCTGGTAAGTTTTAACAACACAGAGATGCCGGACCCCATCCCAGACTAAATCAGTGACCAGGTCAGGGCCTAGACATTCTGGCTGGGAGTGAGGACCGGGAGAGTTAAGAGCTTACTTCAGTTAGCCTCAGAAACGGGAGAACAAAAGGGAGTTTGCTTCATTGCATTCCTCATTGTCCTTCCCAGCTGTGCACATCTGCCTGCCAGGCTCGGCCCTGCATTCCCCAGACCCTTACCACCCCGAGCAGTCAGGAGTCTGTCTCTAGGTTCACACGGGCCACCCCCAACTCACCTCCACTTCATGACCCTCCAACACATCTGCTTTGGGCTGGTCATCAAGCCTAAAAGTAAAATGAGCTTTGTCAAGCTGGGCAAAAAGCCACCAGGCCTGGACCTTTACTGTCACCCACCTGGCTGTGGGCAAGGCAATGTGGACACTGTGGACTCAGGCAGGAGGCTGGGGACCAGGCCTGCCGCTTCTTCCACCCCAGCCATCCTTCCAAGCTGGCTTGAGCACGGGAGGATGAGGAGTGGGCAGTAACACCAGGGCCCCTTTCAAATCTGATGCTGCCATGCAGGGCTCAGGGCACACACACAGGAGGTAGATCCAGCAAGAGAACAGGCTGTTGCTTCCTTGCTGTGTGACCTTATATAACTTAACTTCTCTGAGCCCATGACACCTTCTGTGGTACCTACTTCCTAGGGCTGAGAACTGTGAGGTAAGTGTTCAGCACAGCCTGACTCGGAGACAGGGCTCTCAAAATGGGGCTATTTTTCGTCGGTCTCCTGGGTCACAAGTCTGCTCTACCCAATGCTTGCTGCACTGATAGGAAGCAAACCCTGTGGATCAGTCATTAGACCATCTTTCTGGCCCAGATGCAGGGAGATGCCTGAGCCCAAGGGCTAGAGATTTAGGGATGGGGTAGGAGATGGCTGGCATTTGGGTCCAGTCTCAACAAGTCCCCAGGGAAGAGAAGAGGACTTAGTATAGGGTACATACCGGGTATTGTCAGCTGTACTGGGGAGCGGGGTTGTCTGTGGAAAGGCCGAGATGTCTGGAGGAAAAAAAAAAACACAAAAGCATGAGGCTGCTTTTCTGTGCACCCAAAGACACTGGCCTGCAGTCCAGTGCTCCAGAGAGATTACCTCTTCCCTGGGCCATTGCCACTGCTCACTAGGCCACTTCTACCAGGACCAACTGGTGCTTGTCCCTCAACCTCAAAACCATCCTCCATAGTGCTGATTTTGGTCCATACAGCTGTGTCCCAGGTAGGAGCTCTGGGGAGCAAGTGGGCTGAGACTGCCCTGTGGCCAAACTGCCCCTACATTCAAGTGGCAAACACTAATTGAGAGATGGCTCAAGAGTAGAGCGCTTGCCTAGCTAGGGCAGGGCCCCGAGTTCAAACCCCAGTACCACCAAAAAGACAAAAATAAATTAACAAACAAATAAATAAAAAGCTAACTAGGCCACAGCCACCTCAATAAATAAAAAGAGGACCCTCCTAGTGGTAGGCAGGGATGATTGCTCCATAGCGACACCTGGTGCCTGGTGCAGCTGCTGGGAATTTCCAGAGTGGAGGCCCCACCCCCTTGGCTTCCAGGATTGGGTGGTTGGTGGTGTAAGACACAACTCTAAGGGAGAAGAAGAAAGTCACAGTCCACACATCAGGGGACCCCAGGCTGGGTATCTAAGGCTGACCTGGGCCCCACATCCAGGAACAAAAGAACAGAAGCCTCTATGCTATAAAGAGACTGTTAGCTCCAGGGCTGGTGTGGGCTCCTTCCTCCTCCAGCAAAAACAGAGACAGGAAGTGGCAGCAACTCAAGCTATCAGCAGCCCCTCTCTGAACAAAGACCCTCCCCTCACACCCAGCCATCTGACTTCCCCGTACCTGACTCTAGGCCTTTCTCCGAGGTTGCTGACATCAGGACTAGAAGTTAACATCTCTGGGCCCTCTCAGACTTGGGAGAATCTGATAAAAGCTATGGTCCTTCTTATCTGGTCAATGCATACGTCTGACATCCTGTGCAGTTGTGGAGGACACTAAGCCTTAGGAGCCTCTATTAAGGCCTTCCCAGTCATCATCACCATATCATCTCTACAGACTGCTGGGGCAGCGTGGCATTTCTATCCACCAGCTGCTCAAATGTTTTCAGAGAAGGCCTCCACATGCCTAGGGTGTTGGGAGAGTCAGGTAGAAACCGAATTCAGGAGGGAGGGCAAAATGTCTCTGAAGCCTCATACTTTTCCATCAAAGTTACAAGTGTATTGTGCATCCTGATCCAAAATGTGTCCACGTTTACTTTAATGGGTAGTTCTCTCCCACCCTCCCCCCAAATATCTTTAGGGCAAAATGAACCCTTCATGTTTTCCCAATTTGGGGTGCTTCACTGTACCCGCCTTAGAACTGGTAACCAGGAGGCTCTCTGGGGAAATCACAGCAAAAGCAGATGTGAACTAGAGAAGCAGCTCGGCTGTTCCCTGGGAGCCTGCATAGAGCAGGTCCCGTGCCCCTGGCTGCACAGGCCTGAAAATGCTCCCATTCGATGCCCTAATGGAGTGGAGTTGGGAAACAGAAAAGCCTGGAATAAGCAAATACTGTGGCTTAAGACAGGTTATTCAACCTGGAGAAAAAACAATTAGCTACAGTCTAATAGACACGTTTGTCACCTCTGGCTTAAGGACAAAAGCACTGATCTTCTAAAATCCTTAGAAGCAGGCACATGATCAGATTCAAAGCTTGGTCAAACACAAAGGTGTGCAAAATGATTTTTGTGGAAGAGAATCAATGGGCTGTCTTATTCAATTGAAAGTTTTTTTCCTTTAAACTTTCTGCAATAAGGCAGTACCAATAACGGCCAGCAGGTGGCACTGTGTGGTAAGGATCAGAAACATGACGCCAGATAACAGGTGAAGCCTACGAGATTTTCCAGACTGGTTTCCCCTTCTGTAAGACAAAGTAGTAGTTTCCCTGTTGTTATGTAGGGGAATGATACAGTGACAGATGCTTGTGAGGCATCAGCAAAAAGCCCTCTCCCCTCGTTCTGCAAACCTAGGTTCTAGTTCTACTTCTGCCACTTCCTGGTGGGGTGACCTTGAACCAGTGGCCTGCAATCTCTGTGCAAGAGGCTGGACAGGATGGATTCCAAGGTCCCTCCCTGCAAGGCACTACCCGCCTCAGGGCCCACCTCCAGGTCCCAGTCCTGCCCCCTTGCCTAGCCATGGTGGGCTCAAGCACCCAGGTGGGCTGGACCTCCAGAGAGACCTCAGCAAGGGGCAGTTAGTGGAATCATACGGAGAACTCACCTGGAAATATAAACTGCTGTCTATGATGAATGAAGTAGGCAGCTTTAAACAGAAGAGGAGGTGAGTCACACAAAGAACACAAGTGCAGTGAGGGAGGAAGGAGGATCAGGGGTTGGGGGCTGGGGGGGAGGGCAGCAGAAACTGATTAGTGGGCTGAGGTGGTCCTGCTGCACCTGCCCCACCCCAGGCAAGGACAGGCAGAGCCATGCAGAAAGGAGGAGGAGAATTGGGAGAAATGGGTGCTGGCAAAAACCCCAGGAATAACTACAGGCTCAGGGTTCTGGGGCCATCTCAGCAGTCATCTTGCTGCAGAGCCCTGGCCAGTGTGCGGCTCTGAGGAAAAGCTGCTCTGGAAAATGCATGTGAGCCAGGAGACCAAGACACAATGGGGGAGAAAAACAGGTTCTGGAAGAGTTTAACAGTGTGTGTGTGCAGAAGAACAGCTTCCTCCCCTTTAGCACTGGAGTGCCCCCACCTCCCCTACCCAATTCCCACACCCACGAAAACTTTAGTCTCTAGTAGACACCCTGGGGTTCTAGAAGCTGACAGTGATGCTGTTTTCTTTTGTGGCTTTGAAATGAGGCTTCTCTCTCTGTTGCCCAAGCTGGTCTCGAACTTGAACTTGTGGGCTTAAGCAATTCCTTCCTCAGTCTCTAGAGTAGCTGGGTCTGCAGGTACACAATACCACACCCACCTGACATAGAACGTTCTAACCTCAATTCCACCACTTGCTAGGCTCCAGGCCCTCGGAAAGATGGGTAACCTCTCCAGCTTCCTCACTGTAAATGGGGGATACATAAGCTCTCCTAGGTATACCTTGAAGGTCAAATGCCATGCTCCTTCCCCAGATAAACTGCCTGCTGGCCTCAATGCTTGGATAAGATCATGGAGAGAATGAGGCCTCTGTGTAGGGGAGAATGAGGGCCCAGTCTCCTCACGGGACATCAGTGAAAATGGCACTGATAGCTGATACCACAACCATTCTGTGTCTGTTGTTTTTCAAATAGGCCCTCTTTCTAGAAAGGCCCAAACTAGGTGGTTTAGTAAAAGGGACAATTTCAGAGAAGAATGACAGCGGAATGGAGAGGTTAATCAAATGGGCCATCTCAGTGGCAGAGAGCGGCGAGGCGTTAGTTAATGTCGGATCTCCAGCCATGTGCACATTAAAGTGAGGGAACAAGCAAAAGAGAAACAGTAGCACAAAGCCTCAGTCTCTCACAGCCCCCAGAAGTCCCCGGATCCCTTAAGAGATGGGCCCAGAGGCTGTCTGCCCTGCTACTGGCTGCATGTGGCCCCAGCAGGGGTCCCCTGGCACAGGGAGAGCTGCACGCCTTTCCTCCAAGGCCTGGAGCTCCAGGGACCATTGATGGAGTGTCTGACCTGGACCCCGCAGGCAGGAGAGGGCAGAAGGCCTGCAGTTGGGCCTGGAGCAAACAGGAGTGTCACAGCCACCCCTCCTTCCTCTAAAACTGCAAACTTAAGGAAACTAAAAGCTGAGACAGATGGCAAGGAGCTGCTGAGGAGGTTGAGGCAGCCACTCAGTCCTATGTGGACAAATGGGCTTCACTCTGCTCCCTGGAGAGGGAGGGCTGGTGGAAGTGATGGGCAGGAGAGGCTGGGATTCTGGCCTTTCCCTACAGACCCCAGGACAGCTGGGCTGTGTGCAGCATGGGAGGCCAGCACTGTCCTCCCACTCAGTTTCCTCACCTAACTTCACATAGTCTTGTTTTATGGAAATGGAATGAGAGGTCTCCTCTGAGTAGCTGACTCCATCAGAGTGGGCAGGCAACTGATGCTATCCAATGCCCTGTCCTCAGCCTTCCAGTTCCCTATGCTGCTTGCCTTGCCAACTGGAAGCTCAGAAACCAGCCCTAAGCAGGTGACAATGCTCAGCAGAGGGCATAGGAGGGCAGTGTGGGGATTATGTGTAGACTTGAGTTTGGTCCTGCTGCTTATAGGCCATACAACTCAGGACAAGCCACTCCCTCTTTCTGAACCTCAGTGTCCCCATTTATAAAATGGGTACAACAGCATCAACCTCTATTGTGCTCCACACATCAGCTCTCAGTAGTGGCAGCCTTTGACCTTGAACCTGTTGGTCTGCTAAGAATGGAAGATCTGAGTACATCACTGAGAACCTGGAAAAGCCCAGAGGTGTGGTACCTGGGAAGTTGAATCTGCTGTCCCGCTGGCCAGGTGAGGGGTTGGGGGGTGTGGTGGCACTGGACGGGTTGGATGAGGTCAGGAAGGGCGCTGGCGAAGAGGGTGTAGAGGACGTGGTGGAGGACGGGTTGCTGCTAGAGTCCAGGTGGTTGATGGCTGGAGGGTGCTCCTGCAGGACCAGAGATGCCAGGAGTGGGTGGGACTGAACTGCCCACCCAGCCAGGACCTCCCTCCTCATTTGTCTGCTCAAGGAGTCCTTAGCATCCTGCCCTCTATCAATAACATTTTCCAGTTTCAATACGTGAGGAAGGTGGCACTTCGAGAACCTCCCCTACAGAACCACTCACCTCTCATTTCAGCTCATATTTCCTCCCTGATCCCTTCCTGAACCCCAGCTGGGGCCGTGCCCCTCCCCTTTATCCTCTCATAGCTCCCAGAAGTTCTTTAAGGGGGCACTTTAACTACAGTTGTCCACTGCAGATATTCTTGAATGATCTGCTGATGGTGGTCTCTCCCACCCCAGTGCCTACCTGGCACACAGTAGGTTTTTTTAATGAATTAAACTCAGCCTCTGACACGGCACTGAAATGGGAGTCAGTGGGGGCGGAGAACAGGGAGGAGACCTAAGCTGGAGTGTACCCAGGCCCCACAGCTGATTGGAAGAGCATAGGTTTGCAGGCTGACAGCCTGGACTTCTCATCAGGCTTAGTGGGGGTGGGGTGGGGGCGGAGTCTGGGCAACTCCCTTCACCTTTCTCCACCATAGTAAGAAAACACAACACCTATGCCAGAAGGTTACTGTGGGGATCAGCAGGAGAACAAAGGTGAGTGTGTGGCACACAGTGCTTGTTCCACTCTTCTGCAGACTGCCTAACTAGTGCCACACGCTGCTTTGGTACATAACAGAGCCAAAGGGCCACCGGGGAGAGGGCTCCTAGGCGATTCGGTGCTGGCTAGGCCTGGAGCTGCCGGAGGCTTCCCAGACCCAATGCCAGCGCCTCCAGGGGTGGGAAAGGAACTCCTTGGTCAAAATAGTGAGGGTCAAGTTGGGTAGATGGCAAATGCAACAGGTTTCTCTTCTGCAGTCCCTGAAGGCCGGGGGTGCAGTGCATCCTGAAACAGTGTGCAGTGGAGAAGTGCTGATGAAGTCGGCCCCATTGGCCAAGGGACAGCTGAGCCTATACAGTGCCAACTAAAGACAGGGGGTGGGTCCAAGGTTCACAACCCCACACCAGTCCATGCCGGCAGGGTCAGGCCTGAGCCAGGGCAGTGGAGGGTGGTCAAGAGAGCAGCCTGAACATCAGCTCCTCTCTGCGCCTTGTGTGGCCCTGGACGAACCACCCAAACTCTCTGAGCCTCAGCATGTCATCTATCTCATCTGTCAAACGGGGTAACAGCGGCTGCATCCCAGGGTTGTTCATTCAGTCAACAATCAATACAAACATTTCTGACTGCCTCAAGTGGGCCAGGAGTCAATGTGGGCACTGGGGACACAGGGAGTGCAAGACAGCACCACCAGGCCCTCAGGGCATCTGTGTCAAAGGGAAGTGGAGTGGGCAGAGGGGAGAGATGGGCAGCATGGTGCCTCCAGAACCTGTTAGCTCATGGTACAGTGATGACCATGAGCAGACACCGGAACGATGAGGCCTGGATGCTGCCCTCCAGACAGTGGCCTGAGTGCTAGGCAGGAAGAGCTGGGAAGCCTGGAAGAACCCCCAGGAGAGCTGAGCAGTGTCCAGGTGGGTGGAGAGCAGGAGCAAACACATGGGTCTGCAGGTGCGAATGGACAGAGTGAGGCCGGGCACCCCAGGTGTGGCTGGCGGGGGGAAGGGCAGGGGTGGTAACCACGGTGCTGGTTGTGAGGATGCTGTGTCCCTGAGGAAAACAGGGAGGAGATAATGGCGGGGTACCTCGTGAACATTTTCATCACTGACAACACCGTGTGAATAGAGCATTATCATCTCCACTTGACAAAACATGGAGCTGAGGCCCAGAGAGGTCAAGTAACTCACTCAAGGTCATAGAATCAAGACAGGGAGTTCAAGATTCATACCCAGGGCTGAGGGTCTGTGTCCCCTAAAGTTTGCTGAAATCCTGACCCCACCTCCTCCAGAGCTGGTATTAGGAAGTGGAGCCTTTGGGACATGCGTGGATCGTGAGGGTGGGGCCCTCAAGAATGGGATTAGCACCCTTATATAAGAGGCCAGAGGGAACATGTTGGTCCCTGTCATCACATGAAGATGCAGCAAGGCGCCTGCAAAGAGCTGGCTCCCAGGCTCAGTCTCCCCATTGGTAGTGGGGGAACTGATAGTATCAGGTAAAGGTCAAATGACACACCACTGGGGAAGTTCCCAGCACACAGAAAGCACTCAGGAAATCCTGGCTCACAGAATGAGAAGGGTGTGGGGATCCTGGTATAAAACCTCAGTTCAGACAGAAATGTGGCACCTACTCATAGTTAAGGCAGGATCCCCAAGGCCACCCAGCCACAGATCTTGTCAAGTACCATGTCTTATATCCCTATCGAGCCTCCACCTCCACATGAGGGGTTCTCTGCAGGAAGGAATCCTGGGATGGGGGGGATGGGGAAGCAGTTCTCCCCAACAGAAGTGCAGACCAGGGGGCACTGCCTGCCTTACCTTCTTTGTCAGTGCCTTGGGGAGGGTTCCAAAATGGGGTTCAGCTGCTCTGTCCACCGGGTTGTTGATGTCTGAGGGGACAGATTCTGTCCTCCGAAGCCTTGTTACTGTTTGGAAAGGGGGGAACTTGTCAGCAGGAACAGATCAGACTAAGAAAGAGGCACCAGGATCCCAGGAGGTGCTGGAGGGGAGAGGACACTCACGTGGAAGGAAGGATATTCTACAGGCGGGGGCTTCTTTTGTACACTTGTTGTGACACTTCAACCTGGTAAAGGAGGCAAAGTCAAGGCTTGGGGGCCCCACCAGCACCCCCCTGCCCAGGACAGTTCTGTGACTGTCTCAGTTTCCACAAATATCTCTACAAAGCACAACACCCTGCACTCTCAGCAGTAGCAGCCACCATCTGCTGCACTTGCCCGTGTACTACCATTCCCTAACCCTCCCTCACAGCAGGCTGCATTAGACCTACTAGTCACACATTTACATTCCCTTTCTAAAGAAACGGAACCTCCTTCACCTTTGGAAAGCTCCAGTCAAACCTAAACTTACAAAAGAGTTAGAAGGAGAACGTCTGCACCAGCAAAGGATCCCAAGGAGCCTGAGGGTGGCCCCTGAATTCAGGAAAAGTTTGAGTTCGCTCCTGTGGGCCCTGCCTTTTGCACCAGGTCTCAGTGTTCCTGTCAATGGAATGGGCTGGGACCCTACAAGCTCCTACTGCAACTGCGGGACCAAGTGAGATTCAGGAGTCACCCGTGTTTGCCACACCTGGATGGATGGGAGGTGGGGGGAGTCCCCAGTTTACAGCCAAATGGCCAGGAATCACAGGAGGCCTGGACTGGAGAGAGAACACTGCATGTCTTCGGAAGCCCAGAGAGTCATCAGGACATAACCTGTCCAGCTGACCTGCACAAGACCCACTAGCTCGGGTCTGACTGGAACCCAGGTGCTGTTCCACACACTAGTGCAGATTCTCAGAGCAATCCCTATGGAATCAGCTTTCCAGATGTATCGATGGTAACAAATGAAGCCCAGAAAGGGCAAGCACCTTGCCTCAAATCATGCAAGGGCAATGTGGCTGGGAACTGAGGTTCACTCTCCCCCAAAGACATCTCTGTTTTTACTGTTTCCCACCACTTGTGTGCCAAGTGTGAGGCTAAAAACTTCAGACCCCCTTACAGTTCCCAGAACAGTCCTCACTCTCCCCGACTACCTTTGGTATACCTAGTAAACTTCTATTCATCCTTTAAAGTCCACCTCAAATATTCCCTTTTCCAGGAGCACCTCACTTCTTCCCCCGCAAGGCCTGATTACCTTTGTGGGCCCAATGGGAACTTCACTGAACTCTGACTTGACCTAAAGCCAAGAATAATGTGCCAGCACTGTGCTAAACTTCACGTGTGCTCCCTCCCATCCCCCACCCATCACCTGCAGTGCTTGCACTTCACTCCAAACATCATGCTCTTCTGGCACACGTGGCAGACCTGTGACAGCCAGGACTTGGTGGAGAACCTGCAGGGGTGGACACATGCATGGAGACACAGGCTTGGCCACAGAAGGGGGTCCATCCCAAACTCCCAAGAGCTGTGCCCCAGGGGCCACTTCTTCCCCACAGGAAGTCATCATTGTCAATATCCTGATGTCGGTGTGGTCAATGACACCAAACCTGGCAACAGCAATCAAATCATCAATGATTCTAGCCCTCTAACCCAGTGATTCTAGTCCTAGGAATTTCCCCAACAGACATTCCACTGTGTGTCCCTTGTTGTATGGATAAGGGGCCATTGCAGCAAGGAGGACCAGAAATGACCCATATGTCCATCACTAGGTGATCGACTGAAGTACAGTCCAGCCATGAAGTCACACTACATGGCCAAAAAAGGAGTAAGGAAGTCCTTTTCGTGCACACACACAAAGATCTCCAAATTACATCATTGGGTGCCGTAGAATGTGGTTCCATGTTTTATGAAGTTCAAGTACCGGAAAAACTAATCTATGATGGTGAACATGAACAGTAATTGTTGGATGGTGACGTCATCAACTGGAAGGGCCAGGGACAATTTCCTGGGGTGTCACAGTGTCCTCTAGCTTCATCTGGATGGCATACACAATGACATGTAAATATAAATTCATATGTGTATTTTGCTCTATTTAAATTATGCAACTTTAAAAAGAAAAAAGCAAAGCATGAAACTGTGTAATAGATGTAATCTATTGTGAATAGGAAATAAAAGAACATATGTGCAAAAGAGAAAAATATATACAGATTTGCTTATATAAAGAATCTCTAGACAGACACATAAGAAATTGCCAAGACCTGTCTACAGGGAAACTGGCGACCCAGCGGCAGGAGGGGGCAGCTTTGATTTCTATCTCTTTACACCTCTTGAAACTTGAACATTTGAATATATTTTTCAATCCGAAAATCCTCAGGGTAGGAAGACCTAAGAGCAGACAGATCACACTTTTGGAGGAGCATTTTTTTTATTATAGTTTTTTTTAGGGGGTGGTGATAAGGGGGTTTGAACTTAGGACCTCATGCTTGCTAGGCAGCGCTCTACCACTTGAGCCACTCTGTCAGCCCAGGAGTACAGTTTTTAAAAGCAGAGTACAGGGCGGAGCATGGTGATTTTCATCTGCAATCCCAGCTACTCAGGAAATGGAGGTAGGAGGATCACAGTCTGAGGCCAAGCAAAAGTATGAGGCCCTATCTGAAAAAGCAAACTAAAAAGCAAAAGAACTGGAGTATGGCTCAAGGGGTAGAGCACTTGAGGCCCTGGGTTCAATACCCAGTACCACAGAAAGGCACAGTATAGCACAGTAACAGCAGAGTGAATATTAATTGTCTGAGTCCACATGTTAGCACACTTGATCACTGTGACTACTCCCAAGACATAGGCAGGTCCAGGATTCTTGCAAACCAGCTCCGAGAGGGTAAGGTGACAGTCTAACTCAGCTGTACGTGGGCCCCAGGCCCTCCCCCACTGGTGAGAACTTCAGGCCAGCCTCAGCACAGCTCACACTTCCTAGGGAAACAAGCCCTGGCAAGTCACAATGCCCTTGGCGTTCCCTATGGCACTTATAACAGCCTGGAACAGGGACAGCCAGAGGACAGGCATCCCAAAGCACTGTCCTGCTTGCCATCCAGTGGTGATGAGATGCCATCAAACCTTCATTGCCAGCACACATCAGCCTCATGATCATGGAGGCAAGACCTCTGAACGGTTCCCGTCACAGGCTCACACCAGACCTCTTCTATCTGTAAGAGCCTCCGTCACTGGAAGCTGTTGGTCAGGCTGAGAGCTTCAGGAGTAGGGCCAGAGAATATGAATTTCCAGTAAGCTCCACCAAGGACCCTGATCGTACGTCCAGTTTGAGGGTCTGCACGCGATGTCACGGTGGATATGAAGGAAGCTCTTGGCTCCTCCTTCCCACAATTGTGGCTGTGTTTTACCTGGGCCTGTGTGCTCGGAAGGTTGGACAGCACAATGAGGAAGATACCCTAGGAGGGACAGGTGAGGGAACAGCAAGCCCACATGGTGGCTGATGACAAAACTAGGGCTCAAGGTGGTTGCAGGGCTGTGTCACCCTTTAGGAGATGGGCAGGCAGGACAGATGCCACAACTCAGTGGGGGATCCTGTCACCCAGCCCAGCTCTGTACCCCCTCCCCATGTGGACCTACCTGTGTGTCACCGAGAGCCCAATATCCCTTCGTACCATCTGCGGGGATCCGTGTGGGAGATCTGCAGAGAGAGAGAGACCGGGTTGGACAAGCTGAGGAAGCTCTGCCTGAGACAGCAGACTGCTTGTGCCTGTGATCTTCTGGATCCAAGGTCATAGGCTATATGAGATGCAATGGTGCATCACATAGCGGGGAAATGTTTCCCAGAGCCAACAGCACCAAACGGGGATGGGCCAGCCAGACCAGACGAATGGTATGGGCACCCTCACACCACAATTATTCTCTAGCAAACATGGCCACCTGGCCCCTGCAGATAGCTCAGAGAAGCCCCGTGGATTTCTGCTTCAGTGGATGGTAGGCTTGGGAGGTGGAAGGAACACAAAGGAGAGAGAAGTACTGTACACCCTGACCTCTCACCCTCTCTCATGGACATACAGCTTTGAGGGCTTAATTCTGTCTACTCCTTGTTAAACGGGTACAGGCTAACCTTGGCGAAGGGCACAGGACTAGTTAGCCACATAGTTCAATGAGTACCTTCCAGCCAACAGCTCTACCAACCACCCTTGCCAATCTTGGCAGCATGAGTGAGGGTGAGGTAAAGCTCCCACAGGGCACAGTAGCCTGAGCCTTTGGATATGTCTCAGACACCCCCTTTCTCTGCTGGGAAGTGTGCCATAGGCTTTGAGGTGCCCTTCTGCTTGTCTCCCTGGAGGGCATTCTGGGGGCTCCCCTCCTGACTGGGGTGCTCTAAGAATAGACCTCCCCAGTGTTTCCAGCTTGGCAGGCTCTGCAGGGATGAGCAGCTGGATGCAGTCCGTTATCCACCCACAGCCTTCACGTCCTATCACCCACAGTTCTCCAGCACATTCGTAACAGAGTTGATGCCCCTCAACTTCCTCCAGGGGCAGCCCTAGTTAGCAGCCAGGGCCACCAAAACACATGGCTCTAAAAGGGGTGAGCTGACAGCTAAAGAGACACAGACACTGGGAAAAGGAGATTTCAATCATGTAGCTTAGAGCGAAACCTCTTGATTTGTAACCTCGGCCACTGGCAGAGAACAGGGAAGTAACATGGCATGTGGACCAGGTAGACCCACTCTCTGACCTGGATGGGAACACTGGCGCTGAAGGCTCAACAGGTTCACTGTTGTGGTCCCTGTATTATCATGGCAACTGGAGGATGACAGGGCAAGGGCTGTCCTAGGTGTAGGCTCTGTGAGGACCCTGGAGAGGAGTAGTGCAGGGGCTTTCCTTCGTGACCCATGCCTCCCTGGGGTGCTTCAATTCCCTGGAGACAGTCACTGCCTGCTAAACCCTTCTCCCTCCCAAGACCCCGCCCATAGCCATGGCAGCAGGGGGGGGGGGGCGCCGCTCCCAGCCAGCTAAGACTGATATGTCACTCAGAAAAACCCAGGCATCTCCACATTTCCATTCAGCAGACTCCTAAGGCCCAGTGTTCTCCCACTGCTTTGAGTCACAAGTGACCCCACAGCACAGCGTGTGTAGGGGACTCTCCCTAGCCTGGAGGTGCAGGAGTTGAAAGGGGGGTCAGGGTTGCCTGGCTGCTGCTTCCCCTTCCAGGGAGATGTGCACCCTCAGATTCAGAGGAATGCCCATCCCCTGGAGAAAGGGGTCGTGGGACATGGCCTAAGGATGGCCCATCTCCACCTAAACTAGGCATCTGACACCTCCCTCCTGGAGCGCTGCTCTACCAGGGCAGCTCCAAGAGCAAGCATCTGCCACAGAAGTCACTGTAGGGATGACAAAGTGGAGACAGGCTCATCCAGTCTCTGTTCCCCAAGAGCAGCCACAGGCTGGGCCAAGGTCACATGTCACTTTAAGGCCACCTGTCTTGGAGCTATCTCCTGAAGTGGTCACCAGCATTGCTTCTGGATTATGGAAGCCAAGTGGGCTAAGAGAGCTCAGAAAAGTCCACCCCCGATGGGGACAGCAACACAAACGTGACTTCTGGTGGCAGAAGGGATGAAAATGAATCACTCTTACCAAACCTGAAGGAGACAAAAAAGGAGAGAGAGGGGTTATATCACCACTCTGTTTCCTAGAACATTACCCTTGGGGGCAGCAGGGGGAGGGGTGGATAGGCCAGGGGTTGGGACAAGGGACAGAGGCCCAGCCCTAAGCTGAGTGGCTATGGGAACCCTAGCAACTTTTGTGGGGACTTTTCCTTGATGAAAAGGGCCAGGTGAGGACATCAAAACAAGACCCTGTGCTATGCACTCTAATACATTAGTTTACTTAAGCCTTGCCAGCAAGGTAGATTTTATTCCAGTTCATAGGCCAGGAAACTGAAGTCTTTCTAGGTCACACGACCCATAAGAGGAAGAGCCCTGCCTAGGGACCAGTCAGAAAAAGGGGTTGGCATGCTGGAGAGTGGTGGCTAAGGCAGGAAGGTCAGAAGAAAAGTTGTACAGAGTCTAAAGGGGACCCCAAGAACGGCCATGTGGGGAGATACTCTGAATAAGGCCTCCTCAGGGGCTGCCACTCTCTCCAGGAATAAAGGGACACAGGAGGAACAAGGACATTCCATCTGCCCTGAGCAAAGTGGCCTGAGCGTCCATGTCACCAGCTGTCTCTGGTGGTGGTAGTGTTGGGGGAAATAGACTCAGAATGCCAGGATTCTGAGGCCTGGTGCTCTGTTCTCCAGGGAACTGAGGCACTGGTTTTAGGGAGCCCCCTCTGGCTAACCCATGGACACATGGTAGTTCTCACTGTGTGCTGCCGCTGCATCTGGGGAAGCCCAGATCACCAGAGTGGTGGAAGGACCACCTGTATGGCACAATGGAACCCATCAGAGCGGCTCAGGGTCCCAGAGAGGACCCGAGACAGTCTGCATGGAGACAAAGCGGAGCAAGTGAGACAAATAAAAAGGACACCAAGGTCCAAGGAACTCTCTAGGAAAGAGGTGCCCATGTTAACGCAGGAAGCCAGGTGCTCTGACCCCCAGGGGGCACCCAAAGAAAACTGCTTCCTTTCCTTCTATCCTGCCCACACAGGTACATCAGCAGGGGTAACCTTTATAACAACAAAACCCCACAATGATCTAAATGTCCACCTGATAGGGACCAGTTAAACTATACAATGGAATGCTATGAACAAGATTTTAAAAACTAGCTTGTTTGAATTATTATACATACATATATACAAAACTGACAACCTGGTTGGCTACTGAAGGGGAGCCAGGAGAATGGGTACAACTGATGGGGGTACACGTTTTCCTGGGTCACATGGGTCACAATGCTTTTGCATTTCGTATCATATGACTAAACTTAGTTAATACAAATGCTATGTAATGAGTTGCTATACTGTATTAAGAAATGGGGACAAGAGCCAGGCATGGCGGTTCATGCTTTGTAGACCCAGCAAGCAGAAGGCAGTCAGTCGGATATTGAGTTCAAGGCCCATCTGGACTTGAGACACAGACGACAACTATATATGACTGCCGGTGAGCATTTAAAATTCACTTTTCTGCCTAACAGTGGCCAGCCGGTGAGAAACAAATCTTTGTTGTTTTAAGCCTGGAGATTTGGAGACTGTTTGCAGCCCAACCCGGTCTACCTGACTGACACATGGTGTCATTTCACGTGTGCGTGCATGTACAGAAACAAATCTAATGGATTCAGTCCAAACTGCTCTCTCTGGGGATTAGACCGAGAGATGGGGATATCATCTGCTTTCTACCTGGGTTGATTTGTCCTTTTATGTACGTTTAAGAGGAGAAAGCCACAGCCCAAACTCACCTCATTGGGGAGACCTCATCGATGCGGTTCCCCAGCTGGGACTCGTGGGACTTGCTCCGGGTGAGCGTGGGGAAGCTGGGCAGCAGCTGGAAGACCTTGCGGCTGGGTGGCGGGGGTGTCCGTGGTGGCTTCAACTTGGCATGCCGTCGCAGCTGGGGCGTGGTGGGGGGCGTGATGAAGCTGTGCAGGGCTCGGGGGGTCAGTCGGCCACTAGCATGCAGGGGGATACAGGTGTCCGAGAAGCCCTCGCTCAGGCCGGGGACCAGGGAGTCCGAGGCGGGCAGAGCTGACACAGAGACGGAGCGGGGCCCCTGGGCGCTGCTGCCCAGTCTGCCCAGCTGGGAGCTCCCTGGGAGCCAGGGCAGGCTGGCTGGGGACAGAGTGTCCACAGAAGGCCCCGAGCTACTTTCCCGCCGAGCGTCCAATGAACTCCAGCCCGAGTCCTCTTTGTGCTCCCCTCCTGTGGACCAAGGAGTGAGTCACAGAGGGTTGGGGCTAGATGGGACTCACAGGTGCCACAACTACCCAGAAATGTCTCAACACTGTCTGAGGTGGCACCTTGCCTCAGTGGATGTGACTTGTCAAGTCCTCTTGCATACCTACATCATCCTCCATGGTACCCACGTGATGTGAGGCCCTCAATATCGATGTTACCATTTCCACTGAAGAGGAGGAAAGAGGCCCAGAGGGGGACCGCACTTCCCGGCAGCAAGCCAGGAAGCCCACCCTAACAGCAGATGACCTCAGCTGATCTAAGTTAGGAAAGGGAAGTTAGGGTGTGAGGTAGGAAAACTTCACTTTAAGAAAATTCATACATCAGCCAGGCATAAAAGCACATGCCTAAAATCTCAGCTCTCAGAAGGCTGAGGCAGGAGGATCAGGAGTTCAAGGCCAGACTGGGCTACATAGTGAGACCCTAGCTCAAAAAAAAAAAAAAAAAAAGAAAAGAAGGCTGGGTGGTTCACACACCTGTAATCCTAGCTACTTGGAGACTGAGATTGGGAGGATTGAAGTTTGAGGCCAGCCTGGGCAAACAGTTCAAGAGACCCTCTCATCTCCAAGATAACCAGAGTTTTGCAAGCACACAGCCCTGAGTTCAAACCTCAGTCCTGCCAAAAAAAAAGAGGAAGAAAATTCAAACATTGGCAAAGGGGACAGTGGCCTTGGGGATTGTGACAAAAAGAAAAGGGCCAGTTACTCCAATCTAGGAAGAGTGAAATGGCCTTTGGTTGTGACCGCACCATGACCTTCCCCACTATTGAAACCTGGAGGCTCAGTGGCCAGTTGGTCTATTCATTCAAGCCCCTGCTGGGTGCTAGGTGTAAAGACATAAAAAGACACATCCCCTGGGCTTGAAGAGTCCAGAACTGGGACAGGTATGCAGCAGAAACATGTTGTGACGTGGGACAGAGAAGCACACAGGAACTCTGCAGGGGAGGTGAATCCACCAGCAGGAGGGGGTTAAGGGCTGAGCCTGCTGAGAAGAGGGTGAAGAAGGTGGACCAGGCAGAGGGGACGGTGTGTGCACAGGCAAGAAAGTACCGGTATCTTTCAGAAACTACAGAGTCCCCTAGCAATAAAGGAAATGCAAATTAAAACCACACTAAGATTCCACCTCACCCCTGTTAGAATAGCCATCATCAGCAACACCACCAACAACAGGTGTTGGCGAGGATGCAGGGAAAAAGGAACCCTCTTACACTGTTGGTGGGAATGTAGACTAGTACAACCACTCTGGAAAAAAATTTGGAGGCTACTTAAAAAGCTGGACATCGATCTACCATTTGATCCAGCAATACCACTCTTGGGGATATACCCAAAAGACTGTTACTCCAGAGGCACCTGCACATCCATGTTTATTGCGGCACTATTCACAATAGCCAAGTTATGGAAACAGCCAAGATGCCCCAGCACTGACGAATGGATTAAGAAAATGTGGTATCTATACACAATGGAATTTTATGCAGCCATGAAGAAGAACGAAATGTTATCATTCGCTGGTAAATGGATGGAATTGGAGAACATCATTCTGAGTGAGGTTAGCCTGGCCCAAAAGACCAAAAATCGTATGTTCTCCCTCATATGTGGACATTAGATCAAGGGCAAACACAACAAGGGGATTGGACTATGAGCACATGATAAAAGCGAGAGCACACAAGGGAGGGGTGAGGATAGGTAAGACACCTAAAAAACTAGCTAGCATTTGTTGCCCTTAATGCAGAGAAACTAAAGCAGATACCTTAAAGCAACTGAGGCCAATAGGAAAAGGGGACCAGGAACTAGAGAAAAGGTTAGATCAAAAAGAATTAACCTAGAAGGTAACACCCACGCACAGGAAATCAATGTGAGTCAATGCCCTGTATAGCTATCCTTATCTCAACCAGCAAAACCCCTTGTTCCTTCCTATTATTGCTTATACTCTCTCTACAACAAAATTAGAGATAAGGGCAAAATAGTTTCTGCTGGGTATTGAGAGGGGGGAGCGGGAGGGGGTGGAGTGGGTGGTAAGGGAGGGGGTGGGGGCAGGGGGGAGAAATGAACCAAGCCTTGTATGCACATATGAATAATAAAAGAAAAATGAAAAAAAAAAAAAAAACTACAGAGTCCTGTGAGCCTGAAGAGGTCAGGACAAGCCGGAGAGGCAAGTGATGAAGATGGAGGGGTCAGCTCAGTTGGGAAGGCCTTGGGTGTCTTGTTAAAGCCTTCAGGTTTAACAGGTAGGAGACAGGGAGATGCTGGAGGGCGGAGGGCAGGCAGAAGACTCGGGGACTATCAGAGGAAGGAGAGATACGTCACGTCTCTCCTCTCATCCTCCTCAATGAATGGGAAGGGCAGGAAGAGAGACTCTGACTCAAGCCAAGATGAGCTTCCCCTGTGGCCCTTTTGCTATCTGCTGCACACGCCCCATCTCCTGCATGCTCCCCAAGTATTTTTTTTCTCCCCAGACCAGGTGAGGCTCTTGCATCGGATATGCCACAGCCCCTGCCCAAGACAGGCAGCTAAGAGTAGTGGGACAGACACTGAACCCCTCAATCTAAACCACAGCACTGTGCTCTCCTCCCTCCCACAAGGCTATGGATTTTCAATATGGTGGAATGACACTGGAGGGAATGAGCTCTTAGGAGTCAAAAGTGGCCAAGCCTCACTGACACAGCAGTGTATGGGGGTAGTTTGCCTCACATAAGGTTTCCTTGTGTATTCCATCCCCTCCAGGAGCAGCCTTCCTCCCACTACAATGCATGAAGAAGTTCTGTTCACCACTCAGCTGGGCAGACAAGTTGGCCCTTGCATTCCCAGGCTGCTTGTTCTTTTAGAACTGCAGCCACAACTAACCCTGCAGCTTATACACTGGCCTATTAGAAGCACTGGTTGCCTTCTTCTCATTGTGTAGATAAAAGAATAAGTTCAATGAATCTACAGGCAATTCTGCCACCAAAAGAAGCCTCAAATTCTTCAGATTTCTTATTTGAGTCAACCCCACTTTGGGTCAGCTCAGAGATGGTGAATCAGACTTGATGTGAAGACAGTTGGCAGTGGCTGCTTCAGAATGACTCTGGGGTCACTCAGTAGGAGAGCTCATTGATTAGTAAGGTCTACTTCAGATGCAGGATGGACCGTATCAAGAGGAATGACCATCCTCTACTTGCCAGCATAGGCAACCATCTTTCATTCATAAGACTAGACGCCCACAATGGAAATGATGTCAACATTCTCCATCCCTCCACAGGCCTAATACTGAAAAGAGCACCTAAGCACATCACTGTAACTCATTTCATCTCCACAACAACCCTGTGAGAGAGGGGCTGCTATTACCTCCATTGTACAGATGAGAAAACTGAGGCACAGTGAGGTTAAGTAACTGGCCATGGTCCCATGGGTCCTAAGTGGCCACGCAGAGGTCTGATTCCACAGCCCATCTTTACTGCGCCTGGGCTGCTCTCACCAAGCCCTGTTGGGGTGCAATGAAGATGCTGATTGCATGACAGAGAGATCACTGGTACCCACAGTCCTAGCAGGTGCTGGTGAAGTACAGTCTCGGCTCTCATCCTGCATTGGGATGTGGCTAGGAATCTCCCGGCATGCAGGTGCCTCACAGACCGAATGAGAGAGAAGGAACCTGAAAAAAGGACCTTTGGAGGAAGACACTGGAATTCAGGTGTGCCCCACTGCCAGGTGTGGAACCTGACATCTCACCCAACAGTGCCAGTGCTCAGGTGCTTTGGGCTGTAGGCCACTTCTTCAAAGGCTGCAGCCACAGGGTGTGTCACATAGCTGGCATATAGCTGGTGCTTAATAAATCAGTGACTTCCCTATCTTGGCACCCAGGACAGGCAGACAGCAGCCTTCATAATTCTAACAGGTCATCACCATTCATCAGTTGACTCCTTTACAATCCTTTAAAATCCAGGGAGTAATGGGACAGGGATGGGAGAGTTGATGAGTGACCCCAGAGATCCCAGTTTGGGAGACAAATTCTTCACCTTTCTACTGCATGGAAACAACCCAACCAGCACTGCAGTCCAAGACTCGATCCCAGCTCTGTCACCAACTGTTGTGTGTCCCTGATCATGCCCCCTACCCTCTCTGTGCTCATTCTCCTCTGGGGATAGGAATGCTAATCACACCTTTGTCACCTGCCAGAATACCTGGAACATCAAGATTTTCTAAATAAGTGAAACTCAACACAGTGCGGTATACTCAGAGGACTTAGTATGGGGGCCAGGAAGATATTAAACCCAATCCTCTCTGGGGGAGAAAAATCAAGCACAATATAAACTTCAGTGCCTTCTTTTAAGCCTCAGGCAGCCAGAGAGAAGACAGGCAGCTTGGTTAATTAAAAGGGGGCCTAATTCCATTCATTAGACTCATTTTAATGCTGCATCTATGTGGTGGAGGGAACAGTCAGTCAGGCATTTGAAGCTGTGTCCAAAGCAAGATTTAGAACGCCTGTGAATAATTCTCAAGGACCTTGTCATAATGCCAGGATTATACACTGCCTAGGACAGGCACACTCGCTCACAGCTAAAAAGCCACACAACTTCGCTAATCATCCTTGCCTCAGGCTGAGTCCACCTCAGCGTGTGCCCTGTGAGCAGAGCCTAGCCTACTCGAGAGACCAGGAGCAGGAAGGGAGAGGGCTGGGATTGGGGGCAGGGTACGGGAATGCAGGAAGCTGGTGGAGGGCACAGAGCCACCACAGATGACTTCCTGCAGGGGAAATCACATAGGGCCTGCCTCGCAAATGGGTGGGCTGGGGATTCTTCACAATGGCTACGGCTTCCTAGGTTGGACTGACCAGGCCAACTGGTCGGAGAACTCTAAAGCTCTGGGAACTCTGGGAGCCATAGCCCCCTTAAGGCCTAGGTCCAATATACACTTTTGAGCAGCCACCTTGGCCTTTATAAGGTGCCCCAAAACCCTGAGCCACACTAGCCCTACTCCGTGGCTCACCTCAGCAGAGGACCCCACCTCCCAGGGAACAGGCCAGACCTCCCGAGGAGACAGGCCTGGTATAGGGGGAGGGAAGTAGGGCCTACCTACCCAGGCCTGTCACCTTCCGCAGGCAGGTGAGGGCTTGCTGCAGACGGCCACACTCCTCGGTACTGGCCCCCCAGCGCCGAAGCGTCTCCTTGGCCTTGGCCTCATCCATCTCCAGCAGGGCATCCAGCGTGAGCTCTCGAGGGATCTCCTGAGGGGCACAGAGGGGAAGGCAAAGAGCTGGGTGAGCAGTCAGCTGAGTCCCAGAAACTACTACATCCTCAGCCTGTAGTGCTGGCCTCCCTGCTGAGTGACAAGGGCCAGCTGCATGCTGGGCCAGCCTCCATCCAGAAGCCACCACTTGTCTGAGGACACAGGCAGAGTGCTCTGGCCCCCACCCCCAATGCTCCCATAAACAGCAGCTGAAATGGAGTTGCCAACTTTGGGATGGGGAGAAGAAAACACTAGAAAGGTTTGGTGGGGGCATGTGGTCTCTCTAGGTTCTTTTTAATTCTCAACAAAACAAAGTTAGGAATCACAACAACTTTTTGGAATAGCAAATGCTTCAAAGTTAGTGCTTTACAACTTTGTAGTATCTGAACTAGACAAGATAGATTTCAAAAAAATTTGGCTTAACAAGGAGTTTTGAAAAAACAAAAAAACCAAGAAGCCTTGCCAACCATTGCAGAGGCACTCATTGACACGTCTTACTTAACTCAGTCAAAACAGGTCATTGGGCCCACGTGACACATGAGGAGAGAGGCCCAGAGAGGCTACACTGCTGGATAAGATCACTTAGGTAAAAGGGGACGTATAGCTGGAAGTTTTAATGTAGTCCTGTGATCTTCATTCCCTGTATCATTCCTGATGACGTATGTGACAAAGGGGGAAATTATTCAAGTGGTCTTAAGGTAATCAGACAGCCCTTCAAAACCAAAGGCTTTTCTCTGGTTAGCAGTCATAGGAAGTCAGGGGCTCCAAACATAAAAAGAACTTGAAGACGACCTTGGAGTTGAAGAGCGTCACCTGAGACCAAATGTAGGTAGCCTATAGGATATATGTTGACACCCAGCAAGAAAATGGGGACCTCAGACCTACAGCCATGTTGGGGCTAAGCAAATGACATCCCCCAAATACAGCATGTTTTGGCATGCTGAGGAATTTAATCTAAAGGAAATTAAAAGGCCTTAAAGCAGGTCCTGCTAATAACCCAGTTTCGCTTCTCCCACCCAAGTATGGGGTCCTCCCTGGAATTCCCTTAGTGGAATTAAACCAGACTGCCACAGAGAACATGGCTGCCTTTGTCCTACCTGAAATCCTTAGAAGAGATGACCAGGGACTGAAGCCCATCCACACGGCCTTTCACCAAAAGATGATGTCAGTCCCTGGCTCACTCAACTTCCAAAAGAAATATTTAATCAGCTAATTTTTGTCTCTGGGACCATTCATTTCTCCTAATTACGACTAAGACTGCTCAAAATTGTCCTCATCCCCACTCTCCCTCCCCCACAGAAAAAGGGCTGTGAGCTTCAGAATCATTTGGGGCTGGTGGGGAAGCACAACGTGGTTGCATCTCTGCACGGAATCAGTTTCTGTCTTTTCTCCTAGTTAGACTGTCTTTGTTAGTTTGTTCCAAGGGACTTTAGATGTTAAAGGGGAAACTTCATCTCTCCCCTCCTAAGTCACAAGAACCAGTATTCTGCCCGTACCCTACGTGAACTTGGAAGTGGATTCTTCCCCAAAGCTTCTAGATAAGAGTCCTTGGAAGATACTAAGCATGGAAGGAGGCAAGGCAGGCTGGAATTCCTCTGTCCATCTTCCACCTACAGAGCTATGAGCTAATGGATGCTTTCATTTGTTCTGCAGCAATAGAAAACTAACACAAATAGTGAATGTCTGAGTCAAAGTTGGGCTGTTTCCTCTCATCACGGGGGGACATACAAGCGTGGCACTGACTTGAGGAATGGGCCGTGTCCCTGGCCTCCAGGTGCTTGCATCCCAGTCAGTCTCTCTGTCTCTGTCTGTCTGTCTGTCTGTCTGTCTCTCCCCCTCTCTCTCTCTCTGGGTGTGTGTATGTATGTATGTAGGGGTTATACAAATGAGTGATCTCAATGCACTAAGATATGGGCAAGTATACAGAGTGCAAACAGCTACATAACCAGATTAGGTTTTTCTTCTTCTTTATCCTTTTTTATATTTTCCATAGCAGGAATGTCAGATATTCCACATTAAATGATCCTGTAAAGTTTGAAGTTCTTGAAAATCTGACTTTCAGTGATTTTTTTAAAGCAAGTTGTGTCTAACTTTATTTTAAAAGAGTGCTTTCACTGTCAGTGGATTTGCAGCATTATAAATCTTGGACTTGTGTCAAAACTCAACTGGTGGAAAACTAGCAAAGCCCTGTGGGCAACAGAGTAGGGAAGTCATGCCCTTCCCGCCCTCACACCTGTGGCAGGTGCTTCTGTGTCTCACCAGTGTGTTCAGCTACCTCCAGAGCTGTGGCAAGCTCAGCACTGCTTAGAACAAGTCACACACAAATGAGAAACAGACATGTAACAGTACCAAGAAGCTCATCACTGGTCAGACAAACCCTTGGTGGTGGTCAGAAATCCTTCCACACAATAACACTAACTGGTCATAGGAAACAAGATAGGAACAGCACAGAGAAGGGAGGCTGATTCAACAATCATCACATGTAGATACTTTTATTCCATCCACATGTCCTCCTTTATTCCCTTAGCAACTCTCCTCCATCTCAATGCAGTTCGACATCTCCCTTCCCCTGCACCCCCCCCCCTCCCTTTTTACCTCGAAAAGCAGCCTGGCAACTGTCAGGGGCAGAAGTGACCTTTACCTGAACACACTGCATGGAGCAAGCCTCCACCTTCCTTAGCTCACCACCCACAAACACCCAGGTGTGGGCACACACCCACACGTTGGCCCCAGGCTGGGTTGGCTCAGTAGATTTCTGGAAGATAAGAGTTCTGTGGGATGGGGGCAGGGAGGGAGCAAGGCCTGGAAAACCCAATTCCCAGCCTAACTATAATGCAAAGAGGACTCCCCTCCTTCCTTTTCATTCTCTTCCTTGCTTCCCACACCAACTTTCAATTTCTCAAACTAATTCATTATCACCAACTGTTTGCTGGCACAATATGCTCAGTGCTTTGAACTCCACCTTGAAGAACTCAGCAAGCAGAAGCTGTTCAAATCTTTGTTACTGAGGCTTAGAAACCTTGTGTGGCTAACCAGCTGGGACAGAATCGAAGCCCAGATGTGCCAGGTTACAACGTTCCTCAACTGTCCTGTGTTGTCATTTGCTAACCTGGCAAAACCTTGGAACTCACAAGGCACTGTTGGGGAGAAATTATTGTTTCAAAGTAATTGATTTCTACCTATTTTACAAAACAACTATCCTGTAAAATAGAATCTTCTTTAGTTCTTTACTCAAGTGAAGCAACTCCATTCAAAAGAGAAACAGCCAGGCATGGTGGTGCATGCCTGCAAATCCCAACTATACTTGAGGCAGAGGTAGGAGGATGGCAGTTCAAGGCCAGCCCAGGCCAAAGCATGAAATCCTATCTGAAAAACAAACTAAAGCAAAAGGGGCTGGAGGCATGACTCAAGTGGTAGGCTAAGCACGTGCCTAGCAAGGGCAAGGCCAATTTCAATATTCTGCACTCCTGGAGTGTTTGGGGCAGGGGCGTGGCTAGAGAGGAAGAGAAACAGGGAGAAAGAATGAGAGAGGTAGGGACAGAGTAACATACAATATGTTCAAATCCATTTCCCCCCAAAATGAAAATGTAAAAAGAAAAATAATGACCCCTGTAGCTTCAAATTAGTTGAAAGTGCCTCTTACTCCTCTTAGGTTTGGGGCACCAGTCTGCTACCTCTCAAATAAGAGAGGAGGGATGGCCTTTCTTTCCCTCTCTTGCCCCCCTCTTTTTATCTAATTTAAAATAGGACTAAAAGGTGGGTAAAACCAAATCGGGGGGGAGGAGGGGGAGAGGAGACAGGCAGGGATATTGGGCAAAAGAGTCATCCTGGGTTCCTTCTCAAGCTGCCCCACTTGTCCAGGACAGGCCAACCTGCCTTTCATGCATCACTTTTGGGTGTATAAACTGCACGTTCCATGTCAACGAAACCAGAGTGCTTAGCACACCCTCCGCACCTAAGATTATTATCATCCTATTCAGTGACTGTTCCTAATCCTCCCGCCTGCAGGGCTGAATTCTTGGACTGGAGCAGGGACCACATGATCCCAAAGAAGTGACAGAGTTGTCTATTCACAGTCCACAAACAGGTAAGCTGACAGGACAAAGGTCTCAAATGTGTAAGCCTTGGGCCCAGGCCTTGGGAGGAAATGGGACTAGCAGAGATGTAGCCCCTGGATCTTCTTTTTATGGAGACTTGGGTGCTTTCTGCCATGGACAGCAACAAGGGAAGATGGTCATCAGAAACCCACCCTTTGCTCTCACTCAGAGAGGACCAAGGAGGCCATGGAGGGGCACCTGATCTTTGAGTGTTGAATAAATATGAGTTTTTATTTTTAAGTGGTTGATTTTCACATGGAGCCAACTCATTTGTTTTGTGCAGACAAAACAAATCCCACCCATGGGTTACATAGGGCCACCAGGTCTGAAAATGAAGACCCTCTAGGAAGATTGTGATGCTTGCCAAGGGTCCATGGATCAGACATGGGCTGTCACCCAGCAGTGAAGCACTCGGTGGCCACTCAATGAACCACCCATCTTGGATACAAAGTGTCCAGCCTTTTTTTTTTTTTTTTGCAGTTCTGGGGTTTGAACTCAGGGCCTACACCTTGAGCCACTTCACCAGTCCTTTTTTGTGATGGGTTTTTTCAAGATAGGGTCTCCCAAACTACTTGCCCAAGCTGGCTTCGAACCTTGATCCTCCTGATCTCTGCCTCCTGAGTAGCTAGGATTACAGGTGTGACCCACCAACGCCCAGCATGTTTAGCCTTCTGACTCCTATGACAGACTTGGATCCCATAGAGGGAAGAGCATAAGGCAGCCATACTTGAATCAGGAGAATAGTATACAAAGACAATGCATCCCTCAACTGCCAGGACCCCCAGTTAGCCTTAAGAGTCTCCCTGAGAGGCTTAGGGAATGTGCAGGCCCCCAGAAATGGCCCTGATCATCTGGTATCATGACTCAGCCAGGCCCCAAAGCAACTCAGCACCCTCTAGAC